GATAATATAAAAAACAAATTAAAGTGATATTTTGCAATTCAGTTTAAATATATTTTCAATTATTTTTTTGTTAATTAATTTTTATTTTTGAAAATTTATTTATTTTTATGTGACTTTTGATATAATTTTTGTTTAGATTAAAAAATTAAGTGAATTTTTTAAGAAAGTAAAAAATAGAAGAAAAAAGCATTAATTGAAATGAAAAAAATTGTGAACGTGGGATGAATTTACTTATAAAAAATAATAATAATTCAAATTGGTTCAAGTATTGTATCATATATTTATATATTATTATAATAATATTAAAGAAAAAATTATATAAAAATCATAAAAAATAATATAAATATATATATATATAGTGTGGTCTAGTTTAGTTTAATAATAAAATCTAAAATTTAAACCAAATTATAATATCAATACAATTTTTAAAATATTTAATTTTATCAATTTTAAAAAATTAGATATTAATTTAGTCTTTACGATCATTAATAAATATTTTTATAATTTTTATTTTAATAATATGTATATCAGTAACTAATAATGACTAATAAATCAATTGCTAATTGTCTCCTAAATTCTGACATTATTATGTTAATCATAAGTTGAAATTAGAAACTTTTGTACAGTAAATTATATAAATTTGTTATTAAATTAGTCAATAACAGTAATGAAAAAAATCCATCGCTAATGCTCAAAGAAAAAACAGTCGTTAAATTGGTTACTATATTAACTAATGATTATTATTTTCTTATTTTATTTTATTATTTAAAAATTCATTTCTAAAATGGTCGTTGTCAGTGATAAATTTTTTTTATTTAAATAATAAATTTTTATATTTTTTTATTGAACGAAAGAAATATAAAGAGAACAGGAGAATGAAACGAGACGATAGAGAGAGAGAGTTTGTTAATTTTATGTTAAAATGAATTATAGAAGATATTATTTTTTACTTATAATTTAAATTATTTAAACATGATTTTTTAACCAAAATAAACAAATTATTAGTATATATGGTAAAGTACTCAACTTTTGATAGGTTCGTGATTTTTTTTTTAGTTTTATTTTCTTAATTCTTTTTCAACTACCAATTTTTTTGTCCTGAGTTTAACTCAAGTCACGAATTCAACAAATTTCTAATAATATATTTTACTTCATGAGGTTTTTCTCTAGTGATTATGTATCAACAAATTTTAAATATTCTTAATATTTTTAATATATCTAAGAGCTCGTTTTGATTCTGAATATGTTACTTTATCAGAATTACAATTTACAATTCCTACATGTTTTTTTTTTTTTGAAATATGTTTTTTGGACCACCAATTGAACTGTGAGAGTATTAACCGATTATTTGTAATTTATAAAGAAAAATTATAATGTTTTGATTATTGTGAATACCTAAATTTTGTTTAAAATTTTTTATTTTATTTTATTTAAATTCTGAATTTATTTTATAAAAAATGAATGGAAACAAAATATTTCATAAAAATTAAAATTTGCTTTAATAAATTAGAAAAATTTAGATTTGATTCTAAAAAAGAAGTAGAAACATTGCGAGAATTAAACCAAAAAATAAGTAAAGTCTTTTAGCATAAAAATGGAGCTTGGATAAGAAATTTGGCCTTTTTCTAATTTTAAGAGTAAAATATAACTGAGAGGACATTAAATAAGGAGATGAAGATTTTGTTTGAAGAAAGATACTTTGAACCTAGAGAGAAAGAGGTTGAAAGAAGAGGTAAGTAAGAAAAACAAAAGGCAAGCAAAAAATTTCAAGATTTACAAGTTTTTATCGTACAATCTATAAATTTTTTTGTTAGATATTCCTACCATTGAATGAGCATTTAGACATCACATAAATCTCATGATATCAAAAATAAAAAAAAAAAAATTACAAATTTTTTATACATATTCCATGAAAGTTCTTTCCTACACCATTTTTTCTCTTTTTCTCTTTCCTAAACCATACTACTTTCAACCATCCCTCTTGTCCATTCAACATTCTTCTATATAAACTACCACTTTCAAACAACCAAGATACACTATTAACTTACCATAGAAGCTCTTCTCAAATCCTTTTTTCTTTCTCTCTCTATTTTACACTAACTTCCACTATTCAAAATCATAACTTCTATTAACCTCATCTCTACTCTTTCATAGTCTCTTTATTTTTCTTGGAAAGCTCATCCCTAACCCTCAAGTTCTTCTATTCAAATCTAAAAATTTTAAAATTTAAATATTGAACCTTTTTACTCTTTTTTTTATAATTTTTTTAGTCTGATTTTTTTATTTAACTCAGCATATAATTTCTTATTTTATTTATTTATTTATCGTTGTTATTATTTTAGTAACATTGTTTTTCATTGTTATGATAATTATTAATTTGTTTAGTAAATGGGTTCTTATTATTTATTTTTATTTTTGTTAATTTTTTAAATAAAGTTTTAATTTTAACTTATTTATTTGTTTTAATTCTCTTTATACTATTTATTTTAAAATATTATATTTGAGTTATTTTTTTTAATTTATCTCATTCTAACATTAACAACAATTTTTTTTCATTTTTTTGATATTTCATTATTTATATCTTAATTATCGTATTGATTATTTATTCTTTAGGATTGATATATTTTATTTCATTTATTATATATTTATAAAATATCGATGTGATTTAATTTTATATCTATGATTACTTCATCTTATATTATGAATAGTAAATTACTTGTTTTTTATATAATCAATTAATAATTCATCTTATATTATGAATAGTAAATTACTTGTTTTTTATATAATTAATTAATAAATAATAATATAATTGCATCAATTTATAATACTAACATATAGTTTCTCTATCGTTATGTATTATAAATTGATAAAGTCTATATGTACCTACGTTACTAAGACTTTATGCAATATTAATTTATCATATATTGTCTTTAATTAATTAGTTAACCACCTTAATAATAATCAAAATATACTTCCTTTCTAATTACTAACTTATGAATAAATTAAATAATTTAAATTTAAATTATTTTATTAACAAAATATTTTATAATACTAATGTGTAGCGACTCTACTTTTATGTGTTATAAATTGTTAAAAACTTATGTGTACTAACGTTACCTTAGGTTTTATATAATATAAATCTATCAAATGAAATTCTTAATCTTTTTATTAAATAAGTATATTTTTTAATCAATTTAAATAAATTTATTTCTTTTGTTAAAATAAAATTAATTTCATATTTTAAAATTTCTTAAGTCATACTTATAATTTTGATAAATTAAATAATTAAGTATTTTTTTATTTATTTATACAATTTTCTACAACATCGATGTATAATTTACATTACCTTTGATTGTTCAATAAATTATAAGAGATTTATGTATAGCTTAAGTTATCTTAAATTCTCTTTCAATGTTAATTATAATTTAAAAATATAAATTCTAATATTTTATTTACAAATAAAAATATTTTTTTAACGATTTGCCATGTGGTTATGTGATATTTCTTCATCTTCCGTATTATTTCTCGTAGGATACGTGTATAACCACGTTATCTCATATCCTAAATATTATTTTATAAATTAATCTTAAAATAATTTTATTTTACTAAACTTAATTTTAATAAACCAACTTCGTAATTTTTAGATAGAATTACATGACTTTAAGTTTTTCATTGCACCCGGAGATACATAGGAGCGAGAATCGGACCCATCAAGTCAAAATAATTTTTAAAATAATTTTTTAAGGTATTCATTAACATTTTAAATAAATAATTTGTCTTCTTTTAAAATAATAAAATAATAATAATTGTTATTTAGGGGTGAAATAAATATTTTTTAAGATTAAAATAAATTTTCACAAAAAAGAAGACATTGTAGGTTACTAATACCTTCCTATATATAAATAACTCTTAGACATATTTTTTGTTTTAAAAATCATATTATTTTAAAAAAATTTCTTAAAATAAATTTTGGTGACGATTCCTCTAATATTTTTTAAAAATATTTTTAGCATATTATTACGACCGCCCAATTACAATAGTTATACAATTGTGAGTACAATTAAAGAAAAAATTAAAAACTTCGTGTTATTAAGAAAAATAGTAACTATGGTTTCAAGTTTGAATTTTTATAAATAAATTACGGTAAACACATAAAGACAAAAAATTATTATTTATAAACTGTTATGTGTAAAATAATAAAATATGTGATTAATATTACACTAGTGTTGGATTTTTATTTGGACATAGACCAAACGATGGGCAATGTTTGGTACCTATTGCATCATGATCAAATATAAAAAAAGTCACGTGAAATCACTGAGAGTTCAGTGTTATGTGACTCAAGGGGTAACAGCAGTTGTTAATCACCCTCTGTCACGAGTTGTAAATGAATTAGGCGTTCAAGGTTTTTGTTAAATGTTATTAAATTCTTTTATTTTAACCAATTAAATAGTTTGTTAGATTTTAATTTTTATTATTCAATTAAATCAGGGTACTATTACAACATTGATATTAAAGTTCATGTATTGTTTGCATGCATAATAATAATTTTATATGAAAACAATATTTTTTTATTATTGGTAATTAAATTGCTACAAAGAGTTGTAGGCTCTGGCCTTATTTATTCACTTATCATTTTTAAGCTAAATTCTAAGCTTTAAATACTTATTATCTTATACCCTACAACTTTTTTGTAATAAAAAATATTTTTATTTTCTATTTTTAGATATCAAATGAGTAAAAAAAAAGTATATTATGAATGATATACGAGTTGTTTGTAATATTTAATCTTTTAAAAATTCCCATAATTGCAACTACAATCACAAATAAAATCTGAAATTCGAAACATTATTATAAAAAAAGGAAAGAAAAAAAAGCTGATGCAAGAGAACTGACAACCTGCGTTAACCGATACTGAACGACAAGTGTATCTGACAACTGATTGATAGTCTGACAACAAATCGACGTCGTATTTAGTTGTAAGTGTTCGTAACCGACGCGGCACAAACACAGGGTGTTCAAAGCTAGTAAGCTCCAGCTGTGGATTATGCTGCGTTTAACTTAAACCTTTTAATCAGTGTCACTCCTGACTCACCCTTTTGTGTCTGTTTCACTTTCCCATTATCTCAATTCTTCACTCTCCCACCTTTCCCCTTTCCATTTTCTCACAATTTTCTTTCAAATTCACCACCTTTTCCCCCTCTCCACTCTGAATTCTGGATCTCTTTTTGTGGATTTCGAATTGCTGAATTCTGCATTTATTGCATCAGATACTCAATTTTCTCTCCTGCCCACAAGCAATTGAAGCAAAAGATTGGATTTTTCTCATCTGGGCATCATTAATTTTGGCATCTTTGTTGTGAGATTCAATTTATTGACAGGATGCACGCCAAGACCGATTCTGATGTCACGAGCTTCGATCCTTCATCACCAAGATCACCAAAACGAGCCGCTTACTATGTGCAAAGCCCCTCTAGGGACTCTCATGATGGGGATAAATCTTCCACTATGCATGCTACTCCAGCATGTAATAGCCCTATGGAGTCACCTTCACACCATTCCTATGGTCACCATTCTAGGGCTTCCTCTTCCAGCAGAGTTTCTGGTTCCTACAACTCTTCTTGGGGAAGGAAGGGGAACCGAAAACGCAATGATAAAGGGTGGCCTGAATGCAAGGTGATTGACGAAGAGGGTGGTTATGGTGATTTTTACCGTGATAGTGAGGGGTTGTCAAGGAGGACTCAGATCTTCATTGGTATCATTGGGTTTGTCTTGATTTTTAGTTTGTTTTGTTTGATCATTTGGGGTGCTAGCAGGCCTTACAAACCTCAGCTTAGTGTCAAGGTACAGTGAGATTATTGTTGCTTCTTTTATACTAAGGAATTGCCACATGCTTTGCATTTTTTTCATTTTATAAACAAATGTTTGACTTACCAAGGTTTATAATAACATATTGTGTAGTTGTTTTGTTAATCAAATAACAAATCTTTTAATGTTTTTTTTATTATAGTTAAATGGAATCTATTATTATATTGGATTGAGGATGATGTCTGAGACAGGAAGGAATATAAATCAGGCCCTCATGTTCATGTGGTGTGATTTTTGAGGCAAGACTAGATAGTTAAAGACTAATCACAATTTAGTAATGGGAATTGTAAGTTATTTGAAAGAAACGTGTCTAGATTTTATATCATCATTCGGTTTCAGTGGTGTTACTTGTTTAATGGATACTAGCGCCGTATACCATATGCAGCTTGAACAAAAAATTGCATATCATAGCATTTTTTGAACTTCTGTCCTCAGAGCTAGAATCTACATTTTGTTGTAGATTCCTTGTTCTGGTGCGCAAAGTCTTAGATTGAATTGATGGTGTCTGTTTACACGGGGGAATTTTTATGCACTTTGCACAACTGATTAATAAGCACACATTTTTTATTATATATAACAATAGGCATTGGGGATTAGATAGAATGGAACTTGAGATCCTGGGACCATATGTACACAAGGACATTGTTTGAGTTCTCAATCATGCAAATTGTGTCTCCTTATTGATTTTATTTATTCTTTTCCCGTTGTTCCTCACTAATAATTATAGGTGTCCTGAAAATTTTGTTTATCTATCTAACAGGCTACATGTTATCGATGTGAAGAGAAACAAATTCAATTTTTCTTTGGAACTTAAGATATCATGCTTTTATTATTCATCTTGATTTCTCTACTATACATTATTAGTGAACTTTCCAGCAAACCTAATGATTCGCTTCTTGCAGAGTTTGACAGTACACAACTTCTACTTTGGAGAAGGGTCAGACATGACAGGAGTCCCAACCAAGATGCTGACAGTGAATTGCACAATGAGAATGACAATACATAACCCTGCAACATTTTTTGGCATTCATGTTAGCTCCAAGGCTGTGAATCTTATGTATTCTGAGATTACAGTTGCAACTGGTGAGGTAAGAATTGATTCCAATTTGTAACACTGACCACTACTCTTTGATTTAAAAGGATTGGTTTGAGGGTAATGCTTTGATAATGATCACCGTGTTGCTGCAGGTAAAGAAGCATTATCAACAGAGAAAGAGTCGCGGGATGGTGTCCGTAAACATGCAAGGAAGCAAGGTTCCTTTATATGGTGCTGGTGCAAGCTTAGCTGGCTTGGTGGACAATGGAAAAATACCAATGACTCTTGTGTTTGAAGTTAAATCAAGAGGGAATGTTGTTGGGAAGTTGGTGAAGTCCAAACATAGACAACATGTGTCTTGCTCAGTGGCTATTGATTCCCACAACAACCGACCCATCAAACTTAAAGAGAAAGCATGTACATACGTTTGAGTGGTTTTTTCCCTAGCAATAACCAGTTTTTTGTGTGTTATTTCAATTCATTCAACAGGCTTGAGATTTTCCTTGAGACAGATAAAGGGTTGAAAGAATTACAACTAAAGAGTTAATGTTGTAGAAGTTTTAGTAAGTAAAAAAGCTTTGGGGACATGATAAATGAAAATTAGACTCGATTTCCCCTTCCTACTACTTACCATTTGTTGTTTCCGGTTCTCTCTTGACTCGACTCATGCTTTCTTTTTTACAGAAGTTAAACCGATCATTCAACTAGAGAATGATATGATTGAAATGTAACTGAATTAATGATAATTAAATACTTTTTTAATATTATGTAATAATATTGCATAAAGTCACAAAAAATTAAATTAGACAAATTTTAAGTTAAATGCCATGATTATATTATATGTTGATAATAATAATAATAATAATAATAATAAAAATTAATTAATAATAATGCATATCTGGTTTTGTATTGAAAGAATATAACATCTTCTATTATTTACCATCCTCTGGATTTGCAAGAGTAGATAACAATTTTTATTTTTTATTTGGTACACGTACTTGGATAAACCATACTTGCACGTTCCTGAGGGTCAGTAGATGTAGAGCCGAAAGAAAGAAAAAAACCTACTTGTGACAAAAGTCTAAAATCAATTTCAATAACATTACGAAAATATCGATGCTATTCAATAAAATTAAGAAAGGCGTATTCTCCATCATCAAACAGTTTGACAAGTCTGAAAAAAAATATTGAGGAACAAAACAGACCGATAAACCAAACAATTAAGTACACAATGTCAAAAAGTTTTCAAATGCATTAACCCATTGTGAAGATTTAGGAACTAACGTCTCCAACTCCTTGTCTCAAACATCCAATGAAGCTAAACATTACAGTACACAATGTCAAAAAGTTTTCCAATGCATTAACCCATTGTGAAGATTTAGGAACTAACGTCTCCAACTCCTTATCTCAAACATCCAATGAAGCTAAACATTACAGTACAAAATACATTAAACACCCATAGCTAATACATTCCTCCAATTCTATCTCGTCCCAAGCCGCGCCTATCATCTCTTGCACGATTCATCAACATAGCTCGGCGATAGTCTTTTGGTGGTGGGCCGCCTCTCACTGGAGAGCGGCTTCTCTCCCTCGCATCACGAGCCCACCGACCACCACGGTGGTGAGGAAGTGATGGCAAAAGAGGTGCAGGGGGTGATAGTGGCCTCCTCTCAAATCCTTTCCGTTCGTCATTGAAACCATCTCTTCCACGATCTCTATTATCCCAGTCCAGTGGGGGTGGCCTATCAAACTTGCTTCTACCCCTATAGGCATCTTCTATGTAATCCACACGCTCTCTACGCACATGGGGATCCAAAAACCTTCCTTCATGCCTGAGAGGTGGCACAGCAGTAGATCCATACTCTCTAGGGCCATCCCTTGCTAACCCACGAGGAGGAGATCTGTAGCCATTCAGAGCCCTTTCTGGGGAGCGGTCAATTGGAGGCCCAGGAAAGCGTCTAGGAGGAGCGTGAAGTGGGGGAGGAGCAGGGTAGGCCCTCCGGGGACTTCTAGCAGGTGCATGACGAGACCTGTTACAGCTGTTACAGTAGTCCCGTCTTGCAAAGTTAAGATTGCCACATCTGCAATATAGTAAAGATACAAGATAAGATCCTCACAAAATGATCTAGCCGCTTGGATGTTTAACAACCAGAATCCTAAATTTTTAAACTTCAAGCTACTTAGAAGATACACGAGAGCAATGAGTAATTTCAATGAAAATGGTGGTGATCTGGACTCATCATAATCAGGACATGAACTTACAAGGGATCAGGACAAATCCAATCTCCCTCCCTGGGACGCACGTTGGGATTATTTCTATTGTTGCCTTCCCCTCTAGCAAGTCCAGGAGCAAAGCCAGGTCCATCAAAAGTTCTCCCAATTGGCCTGCCACCTACTCTACCTCGACCATATGGGGGTGAAAGCTCTCTATATCTTCCAGGATCTCTCCCACCACCATATCCACGGCTCCGTGACAAGTGATTATAATCAGAACCAAAACGGTGATCTGCATCTCTGCGGTGAACAGGAGACGACGAACCTGCACGAATTCTATATCCTGGGAAAACAAAGACAGTGAAGTCTGAAAATAAGCAACTTACAGGCAGTGAGGAAAATTTAGCACTGGTATCTACATTACAAACCAACAAAAAATTGTGATCATGCAACTGCCATTTAATCAGTTAGATATTTCATAGGGAAGGTTACCACCACATAGGGCTCCTCCTCCTCATGGACATGGAAATTAAAGTTTATGAGTGCAAGAAAGTTTACATGATAACACCTTCAACATCACTTCCCAAACACCTGATCCATGTTACCATAAAGTAAACAGGTTCTATGAGCAAGCTTCCACTAACACATACGATATCTCCTTTATATCCTTGATTCCAATTCTTTCAATCTCTGAATGCTATATCATATACCATGACATAGTTAAATTTGCAAATCATTAAACCTAACAATCTGACATATCAAATCCAAATTCAAATTTCAGAGTAACAGCCTAGGTGCAGCAGCATAAAATAAGAACCAAGTTCAAAACCTGGTAAAGTGTACGAGCTAACCCCTACAAAAAGCTAATCCAACATGACAAACAATAGACCAATGTCATTTCACTCTTTAGAAAGGCACAAGATCGGAATGTACGCCAAAAGGAAACAACCATCCACAAACATCATCATTGAGCAAAGAATCCCAAACTTCAATAATTTGCCCCAATCAACCAGTTGTTGGACTCTCTTTGGAACCATCTCTATAAGTCTTCTGTGAACAGCCAAAGGTAGAAGCAAGCAACATAGTTCACCAAATTACCGAAAACCATACAAATTAATGGCCCAAACAGATGAGACATATTGAATCCATGTGCATTGTACAAGAGAAACATTGCCAGCAGCCAATTCACTCCTCTTTTACTATGCCCTCAATTAACTTCAAAACAACAGGCGAAAGAAATTGGACATGGAGAAGTGCATTCCTTCATTGTAAGAAGATATGCATCCCTTTTCTGTACCATATCAATACCCCCAGCCAATTCATCAACATGAAAATATTAAGAATTCAGCAGAAGCTATACAATCACATGATAACAGAAGTTTCTAAATTTCCATTGTGGAAAGGAATCACTATTCTGGAAAGCAGCCTTCCCTGTTGTAAATAAATAACCATCTGAATCGCCCCTAATGAACCAACCAAAGAAGAAAAGCCATAGAAACTAAAATGACAACAACCAGCCAAAATAACCATTGCAAGGACAATTCCAAAAGTAAACCGGCAAACATGTAGCTGGAATCGAAATAACCAGGAGTTCAATGACAAAAAACCACATATAACCAATAACACAAGTTTATCATCAGTAAACACTATCTTTCCAAAATTCAGGTCAGCTTGCCCAAAGGTAGCAAATTAGCAATTCACCCACCCCCAAAAACCTCTTGAGGCAGAACCTAGATATATCAGCCAAACATTGGTTATAACTTAAGGTTATTCACCAAAAAAAGTTTGTAATGATCAGTTTCTTTCCTCTACAAAACCGGTAACCATATTGATGTTCTAGTGCATTGTCCACACTGTACCATGTATGATAATAACTTCAAGTTGTATCCCAGATTCCATTAAACTTGACACTGTCTTTATCATCACAAATATCCCAAACCAAAAAACATATACCATGACTCTGCAAAATGAGAACCCATGCAAGCTGCAAAACCCCCCACAAGATCATGCAGAATGGACTATTTCCATCAGCCAACACACTTATTAACCCTTTTAAGTAAAAATAAATTCCCAGATAATGATCCAAAGCTGAGTTCACGGCAACATGCCTTCCTCAAGGCCCAAGATCTTGGAGGCAACATCAGAGCTGTAACACATAAATGCAAAGTTTATTCACTGTTGACACTCCATAAACGATAGGAGATCCATGTGTGGCATGCACATAATGAATATACAGCAGGTCTAATAAAACCCACATCTGTATAGATACAATCGGTCAAAAATGAAAAAGAAAAATAAATCAAGTAATGGCAGTTTTCATCTCGCCTAACCCCATATAAATTATATACAACAAATCCAAGTAATCACTTAAAATTGAAAATCATGCCTTCACCAATTTACACTTCGCCAAGTTCGGTTGAGATTAATTCCAGGAAAGTAATCACGTATTTTTCAAAATCACTATGAGAAAGCATTCAATATAAGCAACTATTTCTCCAAAATAACCTGAACCAAATACGCACTTAAAAAGTTAGGTCATGTATAAAATTTTACGCAACTATGGGCAGCGAAAGCATTCTCAATTGTTCTCACGTTTTGTCGTTAACAATGAACAAATTGGTTAAACTATTGGTGCTATCGGCGGTCAAATTTAGCGCCTAAATCAAATCCAATGCTAAATACACCAAAAATTCCAACAAAGTTGAAAACAATAACAACAAAAAGGAATCTATAACTTGAAAACGGTAACAACAAAAACAGAATCAAACAAGCCGTAATTTTTCCAAATTTGTAATCATTACTCCATTTTACACCGAAATTTTTTCAAAAACTAACTAAATTGAAGCAGGCCATACAAATCAACCAAGCCAATTTTCTACATCGAAATTTCGAATTAAACAACTGAGAAACCTGAGATAGGGCACAAACCAGGTTCGTCGGGATATCGATCGGAGCGGGAATAAGGGGGAGGAAGATCGCGGTGGAGTTCGCCCGGCTCGTAATCGGAGGAGCGACCACCGGCGGCGGCGGCGGCCTCGCTATGGGATGGGCGAACGACGAGGCTGCTCAAGAGAGGTTGGTGATGATGTGGCGGCGCTTGTTCTTTTTCTCTCGACGAACCCATAATAACTCTTTGTGAAGAAGAAGATTGTTATCGATTTTCTCGATTCTGATTCACCTGCTTCTGGTTTCGATCACAGCGTCGTGCATATAAACCCTATATTAGATTCAAGGATTGCTGTTTTGTTTTCCTTGGAAATTACCCAAAAGGACAAGGTTTTCTCTAAATTCGTTTTGCACCTCTTTTTTTCGTATTTTTTTTTCTGAGAATTTCGGATTTAATTATCTCAACTCATTAATGCAAAAAAAGGGTTGGATTGATAAATTTTTATATATTAATCTTAATATTATATATTTTATTTTACTGTTAAACAACTATTTGTTATTTTAAAATAATCTATATTCATTTTTTAATTGATAAAGCTAAAGGAAATACTTACAGCAATAGGTAATGTTCTTAATTTAAATACAAATTTAATTGTAAGAGTAATTTAGACGAAAAAATGAGTCTTGCAGTGCTCAAACTCGCTTGAAGTCAAAATATCAAAAATTTAAATAAAATTTCAAAGGCGTTTTTAAAAATAATTCCACCGTTTTATTTTTAACTATTTTACACTGATGAATACAAACGGATAGAATATTTAGGTTAGTTTTTCACTTTGAAAATATAAATTTTAAAATGATTTACTAAAATAATATCATTTTAAATTTATTTACCAAATTATGATTGCCTTTGAAACATAACACGTGTCACGTTAAAAAAAGGTGAAAAAAAAATATATTTTGCCGTCCCATGATACTGTATAATAAATAACATGTGAGGTCCTTCGTACGAGTGCTACGCCCATAAAAGTGACATGTAGCTAAACATGTGCTGCCAATTAACAATATTTTAGTTTAGAGTAATTCCTTTAATCACTTCTTTTTACTAATTAGATAAGTTTTAAATACTTCTACAAGAGAACACGGTGCAACTGTAAAGGGTTTTAAAAAATATCACTTCAATAAGTTGTTTCAAATTTAATAATTTTTTGAGTAAAAAAGCCACGGTGAATCAATAATTTATAATAAAAAAATGCAATATTTCTGGTCAACAAAAGTCCATGGAATCATGGACTAGAAAAAGTCCATATATGTTGCTAATGACTAGGTTATTTTATTAAATATATAAATCGTATAATTTTATTAAATTATTTGATATACTATTTATTTTTTATACGTTGCTAATGACTTTATATTTTAAAATTTATAGCCTGAAAACACTTCGAAAAATGCGGCAAAATGGGGAGGTCCCGTGCTTCACTTGCATCTGAGAAAAAGACAAAGCAAATTGAAAAGGGGTGACACGAGAAAAAGAAAATGCACCCAAAGAAAACAAACGAGACACCTCCCAATATATTATTTTCATTCTCGAAGCTCGTAAATCCCGACACGGTGATGAAGGTAGTTTTCTAAAATGCAAGGCACCTCAAGATTTAGTTTAATGGTCATTGGTCAATTCTCAATTAAATTATGTGTTAACAACCTTTTAAATATCAATAAATTATTATTTTTAATATTAATTAAGGAATATATTTATTATATTAAAATTATAAAATATAATAAATATTTTAATAAAATATTACTTATATTGTGTGCTTAAATTCAATTTTCAAGATTCATTAAATTTAATAATATTAAGTTTTTTTTTAAGAAAAGATTAAAGTAACAAATAAAATTGAATTAGAAAATGATAGTAGTAAAAGACAACGGAAAGAGGATGGTACAAGACAAACGTGGTGGGAAATGAGGCACGACTCACGAGTGACGAGGCACGAGCGTGAGGGTGTAAGCGGTGAAAAAAAATAAAGAAGAAAAGGACAAGATCTGGACGAAGAGTCGCGGGTGGGTCCCCATATCATGACACATTTCCTCATCGTAGCCCCCACACAGAATCGTGTTCCTTCAACCTTCCATTATTTCATTTTCTTTATTCATATTCTCTCTAAAATATAATTTTCAACATTTAATTAGCAGTGTGTTGTGCTAGAGCCTTCCTTCTTTTTCCTTCCACGAAGAAAACGGCCACTATTGATTGGATTCCTTTTCACTTCTGTTTCCTTCGGAAACCAGCAACAACCCCCCACCCCCCACCCCCGGCGCACGATAGCACCATCGCTTTCGTTTCGCGGTTGGTAACCGTTTTTATTTCGTTTCCTAACTCAACAACCTCTCTCAGATTCTTCACTGCTCTTTCTGTTTCTCTCTCTGTCAACCGAACGGAGAATTTCTCATCTCAGCGAGAGAGAGCTCTGGGATTGAGGCTCTCACTTCACTGGTGCGTATTCGATCATTTCTTCATTCAGCTGAGATTTCATTTTCGTTTGTTCTTTTTTCTCTTAGTTGAATTTTCTGTTTGTTTGATCTCGATTTTTTCAGTTTTTTTTTCTACTTCGTTTTTTCATTTTTTTTAATATAAACTTATCGTAGACTCATTCTGTTGCTCGTTTTTTGTTTTCGTTAGGAACTTGTTTGCTGCTTAGGATTTGCAGGATTATATTATAGTGTTCTTTGCCGAGTACATATCTGAATTGTTGATTTTATGTGTATGTTGATAAATAAGGAAACAGAGTGTGTTATTGGCTTTGGCTTTTGTTCGCGGTGCTTTAACAAACTGATTCACTGAGCAATCGTATTTCTAGCGTCACTGTGATTCGTTTTTTTGTAATTTTCTGTGAATCGGTAGGGATAAGCTGGTGATACCGTGATTTGTAAGTTTTATTGTGTGTAGTGAGTCTAGTGACTACTTAGTGATGTTTGAATCTGTCTTATGAAGTTAAAATGGCAAAGTGGTTTTATGTGACAAGGTTATTATTGTTGACGAATTACGTTGTGAGTGCTTGAAACTTTTCCAGCCATTTTCGCTGTTTTTGTGCCTGCTTGATTTTCAGTTGAAGCTCGGATAGAATAGAAATATTAAGATTTTGGTTTGATGTGCTGAAATTTCGTTTGATATATTAGTTAAAAGTTTTTTATATATTAAAAAATGTTTCATGCTAAAAGCTTTCAGTTATTATGATTCAGGAAGCAGGCAGGTCAAAAATTGGCATGTGGGTGGGGGGACACTATCGTGAAAACTCGTCCATGTATAAGCGCACTTCTTCGAGGGAATATTCAAACATAGAAGACATGGAAGAAAATTCAGGTATGCCCCTTTATTGAACCTTTAACAATGTACTTAGGTTATGTAACACATGTTAATTCCACTTTGTTGTGAAATATGGCATCTAACCTAAAACCCTCTTAAGGAAAATTCCTTCCTGTGAAACTACTGCCGTCTTTCTAATATAATCTTTCTAGATTTCATTATTCGGAAGAATCATTAATTCTATCTAATCTTCAAGGAGACAATAGGTATGCTGTTGCTATTGTCTCTATTATTGATAATTTGCAATTGAATGCAGTTCTGAAAATGGTAGTAGAAAAGATGGCCTGAGTTTATGATGTAGTAAAAAGGTTTTTAGGACTTCAATCATGTGACTATTAACCATGCTGTCTTACTCCATGTGTGATAGATATTTTAGACAACTGCTCGGATAAGGGAACCGTGAATCCTTCATGGAAGCTTTCTTTACCACATGTAGTTGTGGCCACTATTTCTTCCTTCCTATTCGGATACCATCTTGGGTTTGTGCTTTCCTAGTTTCTCCTTCTTTGTGCTCTCTTGATATCTTTAGTTTACTTGCGTATCCATTAATGACTTGGATTTTTTATCTTTGATTTTTTGGGTTCTATTCAGAGTTGTAAATGAACCACTTGAGAGCATTTCTGTGGATCTTGGCTTCCATGGAAATACATTGGCAGAAGGTGACAAAGAGGATTCCAAAACTTGTGCTTAATTTGATGTCCTGCTGTAAATTTCTCATAAATAGGATTTTCTTTTTTTGGTTTCAAATGAAGGTCTGGTGGTGAGCATATGTCTTGGTGGTGCCTTGATTGGATGTCTACTGAGTGGCTGGATTGCTGATGGGGTGGGACGTCGAAAGGCCTTCCAGTTGTGTGCTTTGCCAATGATAATTGGTGCCTCTATGAGGTTATACTTCCAGTACCAATAATTGCTCATGGAATAAATGGAAATTTTCTTTGCAATATATGGTTTGATCCCTTTTGCATTTGGGGTTGATGTTCTATGATTTAATTCAACATTCATCTACTGTACCTTTTGTAAAATATAAGTCCTAAGGTTCTTTCTATGGAGATAATGTAATCTTGTCCTTGTTGATTTCATGCTACTGTGATATGGCCAAGACCATTATTATCTCCAATCTTCCTTGAGATATCATCGTAAATTATCATTGATCATCTACATACCCAGTTAGATTACAGAATGCTATGTGAATTATTGACGTTTTAGCATTTAGTTTTTGTTCATTCCATTCCTAGGTTTCAGTTGCTTTTTATCTGTTGGCTACGATGGAAACACAGGATAGTGTATTTCTGTGTCCTCTAATGTGATGGCATCTTTTTACTTATTTTCTTCCTTATCTCTAATGTACCCAATTTCCATCTTATGGTATCTATATGGTCTCTTTGCCCGTTATGATACTTCAATATTACCTTGTCTGTCAGTTCTAGAAAAGAATATAAGCTTTTTTTCTTTCATATATTTCAAGTATATCCTGTCCATAATGGAATGCCATAGCGGAGCAGATAACCAGTTTTATGAATTTTTAGATAACAGGTGGGCAGGGTGAGCAGTAAGCAGACTAATTTTGATTTTAAGGGCCCTGAGGTTTAGAAATTCTTACTGTTATGCTTATTACAATACATTCAGTTTTCTTTTCAAGTTGCTTTTACTGAAATATCTGACAACTATGTGTATTCCCCTTTGGTGAAGTGAGTGTTTTTACCTTTATGTTTTCAAATATAAATTCTTATGGCTAATTTTCTCATTTGGAAAATTCTCTGTTTTCAGTGCAGCAACAAACAACTTGTTTGGCATGCTTGTAGGAAGGTTATTTGTTGGGACTGGTTTGGGCTTGGGCCCTCCGGTTGCCTCTCTGTATGTAACTGAGGTATGAAAATTGTTGCATCTGTCTCATGGACTAGGCTGAAAATTTACTTGGTTATTCATGTGAATACTCTTTTGAATGGAAGGTTTCTCCTGCTTTTGTGAGGGGCACCTATGGAGCCTTCATCCAAATTGCAACATGCCTTGGTCTAATGGGAGCTTTATTTATAGGAATTCCTGTCAAAGAAATTTCTGGATGGTATGATGTTGTGAATCTTAAATTGATGTTATGGCATTATGAACTATTTATTCATGATGTTTTAAAGTTACACCCTGAATTATTTCCATAGGTGGCGGGTTTGTTTTTGGGTATCTACCATTCCAGCTGCTCTACTTGCTCTGGGTATGTTGTTCTGTGCAGAGAGTCCGCATTGGTTATACAAGGTTGACATCTAGCCTAATATTATTTCATCCTAGATATTCTTCTCTATTGTTATCTTTTTATTTGTTTGAATCCCTTTTTCAATGTTAATGATGTTAACTAATAGTTTGAAGATGTCCTTATTTGCTGCCTCCGTTTCTGGTTACATTAGCCACTAGGTGCAAGGATTGAGTATTACAGTAGAATACTCTATAATGTGAAGAGCCTAGAGGATTGTGTGCTTATTTTTTAGGTTTACTCTCTGATCTACCTATTTTTTATTTTTCTTCTTTCCCCTACCCCGTCTTTTTTAGTCTTGTCAGACTTAATCCTTTGGTGCTGTAGTATAGTTTTGGTTCTCTTTAGTCTGCTAAAAAGGAGCATCCATGTCCTAGTCTTTATAGCTGTTGGAAACATTATCACTTCTTTGCATGTCCTTGTTCTCCTATTTAACTATAAGATTTTGAGTATTATTAACATATAACATTGCCTTGCTCATGTCTCTTTTTATCATTGTCCGAAACAGTTTACAATAACTTTTGGTTCTTATTACTCAAAAAAGACAATGAGGATCATTCATATTGTAGTGGTGTTGTAGTTTAGAAAATTTCTTCTTATATTCTTCATTTGCATCCCAACATCTTGTTGATTTCTGGATTCTTTACTTAGTCCCTGATCATTCCTATTTGTTGTGATATAGCAAGGAAGAACTGCTGAAGCAGAAGCCGAGTTTGAGAGGCTTCTGGGTGCATCTGAAGCAAAATTTGCAATGTCAGAGTTATCCAAGGTAGATAGAGGAGATGATACTGATACTGTGAAGCTGTCAGAATTGCTTCATGGTCGTCATTCTAAAGGTATATATACTTTTCCTGGTTTATACTAGGACAGTTGAGTGTATTTGCCATTGTTGTTGTCACTGGTTTCCTTAGGTTTCCAAAAGTTATTTTTTATTTACGAGTTTGTTTTGCAGTTGTTTTTATTGGATCAACCCTATTTGCTCTACAACAGCTATCTGGTATAAATGCTGTGTTTTATTTCTCTTCAACTGTTTTTAAAAGTGCTGGAGTGCCATCAGACCTTGCAAATGTCTGCATTGGAATAGCTAATTTGGCAGGTATTCCTATTTTCTGGCTGCTGGGTTATAGTTCTAAAGTTGTTATGTAATTCAATTCTCAAATGCTATTTGTTTCCTACTTTCTTCAGGATCTATCATTTCAATGGGTTTGATGGATAAGCTTGGAAGGAAAGTTCTACTTTTCTGGAGTTTCTTTGGCATGGTATTATGCATAGATTTTCTATTTTTTTTTTTTTTTATATCTCAAGTATAGCATGGTAAATTATGCATAGATTTTCTACTTTTTTATATCCTGACTTGTTGTTAATGGTAAAGGAGAGAGGAGTGCTGTTTGGGATATGAACTAGTGCAAGTGCATGACATAACAAAATTGGGGGAAATTCCTTTTGTTATGGTGTTTGTATTGTTTTTGAATAAAAGATAAACTTGGCTTTTAATCAGGAAGTTGTTTGTTATATTTTGTACTATATAGGCAATAGCGATGATCCTTCAAGCCACAGGAGCAAGTTCACTTGTATCAAACCTGGGAGCTCAGTACTTTTCTGTTGGTGGCATGTTACTGTAAGTATCAGACTGTGATGATTCCATAAATACGAGGATCTTTAATAGATGCATCTATAATGCAAATTATAAATAAATATTAAACAATAATTCTTGAAATAGTGACATGCATTTTCTTTGGTGAAGAGTAGTTGCTTCTACTCATAATGTTATAGTCACTGTTAGATTATGGGTGATCCTTCGAAAGAGAGTTAATAAGGATGTCTCCTATTAAAAATAAAAAGAATTGAGGCAGTCAAACTCTTGTTTCAAATGAGAAACTAGTGGGAAGTGTTAAAGGCAATAATATGTGGATGCTTTCTTTGGTTCAGCAGTAAATATTTTAGTATTGATATCTTCACAGTTATCATGATTCTGTGCCTGTAATAATCTACTTTTAGTAGTAATTATCAAATATCAATTAGTCAAATTCATCAATTATGACTGTATGTGGGCAGCCCCTTTCTCTCTCTTTCTTATATATATATATATATTATGGAAATTGAAGATGAAATGTCAATAAATTGCAACCTCTCCCGAGCAATTACGTTGTGTCCTTGTTGTCCAGGATCTAGCAGCTCTATGAAGTGTAAACAATTGTCAATCAGAACAGCTGCTTTAGACTAGGGGACTAGGGGTTCATGCAGTGCCTTTTGTGAAGACACTACTGGAAGACTGGAATATGAACACTGAACTTTTACTCCTGTTGTGCAGGTTTGTCTTTACATTTGCTCTCGGGGCTGGTCCAGTTCCAGGTCTCCTTCTACCAGAAATCTTTCCCAGTCGAATCAGAGCCAAAGCCATGGCAGTCTGCATGTCAGTGCATTGGGTAATTTTCTTCAGCTGTTTCCGATTTCCTGCAGTCTTAGCAAACTTCCGAAACTGTTTCATTATCTGTTATCATAATGACTTAGAAGAAGGGGGAAGCTCATTATTTATGAACTCCTTTCTCATTAGATTCGTGGTCTTGTACAGGTCATTAATTTCTTTGTTGGACTGCTGTTCTTGCGTTTGCTGGAAAAACTTGGTCCTCAGCTGCTTTACTCTATGTTTTCTACCTTTTGCATCATGGCAGTAATCTTTGTAAAAAGAAACGTGGTGGAAACCAAAGGGAAGTCACTTCATGAAATCGAGATAGCACTTCTACCCCAAGACTAGAGCTTCTTATGAAAGCTTCATTCATTGCTCTAATTTTGCTTTGTTTGAGCTATCATAGTTTCAGCTGAGCAGTTTGTTTCATCTATTTTGGTTCGCCTTAATATACAAGAGGGAAGCTCAAGGCAAGGAGTCAAGGATTATGCGTTGTTCAGCTTGTAACACGAATACGAAGAGCTTTAGGGATTGATATAGCTGTAGGCTATAGCTGTGATGGAGTCGGTATTGTTTGTGGCTTACGACACTACTCTTATTCTCAAGGTTTGGGGAATCGCTGATTTTGCAACAACGTAAAGGGAAATCTAATTCACCAAGAAGGGGTGTGTGTAGGATATGTGTATCTCATAATATCCGTATACGTACTGCATGTAATATATTTGTCCTGTCTTCGAGTGGCGATATTTTTAATCGCTTGAATTATTGTCCCATTTTGAATGCCAAGTAATTTTGCATGTCAAATTCTGATGTATATCGAGGAAATTAGGTGGAAACATCCTGAGCTAAAGAAACCCTCGGTAATTCATCTGATGAGAATATGTTAATGGAAAGTTGCCTCAAGGGGTAATCAGTAATTTCTTGTAAACCACCGTTAAATTATAAGAATCCTGCTTAGAGAAAAAGGTATTTACTAAAATCTTAAAATAATGTAGTTCTCAAAATAGCATTGAGTTCATTAGCTGGAATAAGGTAACGGGTCAATAGAAAATCAAAACCAGTTTGTTTGGTGGTTTTCTTTTGTAAGAACTTGGTGGTTCCTTCTCTTGCACTAAGCTATAAACTTGGGTTCGTTGTTGGTCCCGGAAAGGCTGTAATGTGGACACATTAATGATTATAAATTAAAAATTCTGGGCCTGTCGTGTACTTCTGTGGCCCAATGGTCATATATATTGCTTTTTGAACGTGGTTTTGGGCCTTGATATTTACTTTTCTCTTGAGTAAATATAAAAAGAATGCAAAAATATCGACATATTTACGCCAAAAAAAAAATAATGACAAAAAATAATTTAGGCAAAAGTAGAACAACCGACTTACATTTTGAGAAGCTAACATGTTCAATAATTTTTTAAGGGAAGAATTTATTTGATAAAATACTTCTCGTAATGGATTAGAATAATTCTATCTTATCACATCATCCTTTGTGACTTTCAGATTAAAGACTACAGAGACTTGACAAAATATCGACCATTGGAATAGATTCATTTAGTCATGATACTAGATACTATTGCTTGGTACATAATTTATTTTCGTTCGAATATTGAATGGAATTATAATAAGGAAAAAAATACTGTTAAAAAAGGGGAAAAAAAGAAGAATACAAAAGCACTTTGATGGACATGCAGTAGTAAGAATCTCTCGTCCTTGTCGTCACTAGGAGCAGAATTGTGGCACTTGGCAATAGTTTTACATCAAGGACAAGATGGTAAATCTACACATTTTACAATGCTTTCTTTCAATAATTTATCCTTGAAACAAAAAATCTTTTTGAAAAAAAAAAAATCCAACCGCGGATTTCACAGGTGACATAATCAGCAAATAAAATACCAACCGAACAGCACAAATGACAAATTCTGTTCCAAAAATACGATGCACCTTGAATTCATTTCTTTTAATATATATTAATAATAAAACAGAATTCAAGGTGCATCATATCCGTCGTCCAGACTCAGTTTTGGTGATATTGATATTCATAGTGCTGAAGTCCTCCAAATCAGAATCAGAAGCAATTTTATCGTAACCATGAAACTCACCAGGGCAATCCTGGTCTTGTCCATTTCTACTCAAGGGAACCCACAACTCCGAAACTGGAACAGGAAGAGGTTCTTCACTAAAGTACTTGTCCTGAAGTAACTCCATTGCAGTGGCCCTCTTAGTTGGATCATAACAAACCAATCTTTTGACAAGGGAAACTTCATCAGGGGAGCAATTGGGCATGCATGCTTCAAGATCAATAGGCTTTTCCACTTCACCAAATGACACTGTTCCATAATCAGGAAGTTTAGAACAACCAGGCCAAGTTTCCTCATTGAGATTCCCCAAAACACTGATAATTCGGCTAAGCTGATCTATATCAGCTGTTCCAGGAAACAATGGCTTCAATGTCAATAGTTCTGCAAAGACACATCCCAATGACCAGAGATCAACCTCTAAACCATAATCTGTGGATCCATAAAGTAGCTCCGGTGCCCGGAACCACCTTGTTCCGACACATGATGTGAGACAACCAAGTTCATTCCGTCCTACTTCCTCAGCTTCGTATGTAAAAGAACCCTTACAAAGATCATCATCTATGTCACTTGTTGTGCATGTAGCAAGACACGAGGTGTTTCCATCATGAATGTTTGTGTCCTTATCAGTATCATATGAGTAGCTCTTGATTTTCATCTCATCTAAAACCTTAAAATATTCTTCATGACTCATGGTTCCCTGATCCTGATTTACATAACCACTTTGGTTTATGTCATCTGATTGAGAAATAGCTTCAGCATGTTGAAGTGAACTTTCACTATTGGAAGCATCATGCTCGTATAGTGGTGGGTTTTCCGAGGGAGCATCAAATCCAGCTTCCATAAGTATCCTCGCCTGAAAAATAGTCAAATTAAAACATTCACATATCAACAAATAAATAAATAATCTCAAATTTAACAACAAAACAAATATGATCTATATTTGCAACTTCAGGTAGAAGCTAATGCCACAAAATTGAAACCACGCATGATTGACCCAAATCACAAAACATATCCAAATTTAAAAATAAAATAAAATAATAATAATTCAAGTCACGTAACAACCAAGCATCCCCAATAACACCACACATAAAAATGGAAAAAAAAGGGGCAAATTTTCAATTTTGAAAAAAAAAAAAGGTTTATCCTTAAAACCTGTCCAAAATCCGCCAACTTGAGAACCCCATCATCTGAAACCAAAAAATTCGCGGGCTTTAAGTCTCTATGAACAATCATATTCCGGTGACACGCATCAACCCCACTCAAAACCTGGATCATCCACCCCTTAACCTCTCCAACACCCAAACCTTTACCCTTAGCTTCTTCAATAACAGTGGCGAGGTTGCTTCTCAGAAACTCGAGAACAAGCACTGCATCTTCATCCTCGCGCAAGAAGAACTCGTGCATGACGACGACGTTTTGGGACCCTTTCAGAACCCTCAACGCCTCGATTTCCCGGAACGCCGATTGGCCGTCGTGAACCTCCTTCAGGGCCACCGTGGCGCCGTCGGAAAGGCGCCGTCCACGGTAGACGTCGGCGTATGAACCCGACCCGACCTGATCGAGAACCTCGTACTTGGTCGTAATTTCGGATCGGGTGTGGATGGTCCAACTCTTGGGTGGAGGATCCATTGTTATGATTGTGAATGCAAAAATACACAATTGAGTTTGTGAAGTTTGAACGATGGATGACCAGAGCCAGTGGACACACAAGACAATAACTGTTTCTTCTATTTTGGTCTTTGGGTTTTAGCTTTTGTTTTCACACTTTTTTTCCTTAAAATTTGTAAATTATTGAATTTTGGAAAATGTTTTTTTAGTTTGGAATTATTTCCCATTTCCATAAACGTTTTAAAAAAATAGAAATGTTAAAAATATGAACACTTGAAAAATTATAAGAACGAGTCATTAAATAAAAAGTGGAACTTTTATCATTTCAATAAAAAAAATATAATTTAGATAAATTATTTTTTAGTTTAATTTAAATTGCATGTATTTTTTAAAAGAAAGTGACTTTATTTAAAAAATATTTGTAATATCATGAGTTTAATTTTTTAACAGAGTTTGTAATATATATATGTTATATCTTAATTGATCATTTATAACTTAATTGCTTGTGTTTTAATTAAAATTATAGTTTATGTTAATAATTTATATAATAAAGATGATTGAAGTAAAGTTTTAATTTTAATTAAAGAAATAGTGAAAACATTAAGATAAATCTTTGTCCTGAAACATATGTCAAGGAAAGTGTTTAAAAAAAAATTACAAACATTTCTTAAAAATGATAGTTGGCGGTTTTTTAAAAATTGTGTTGGAAACGTGCTATTCTATTAAATGATTGATTCATATTATTGATTAATAGTTGATTTGATGATTGTTAGGTATATATAAAAGAAATGGTATTTCAAGTTCAGAAGTAACAGAACAGAGTAAATATAACGGATGGTATTATAAATTACTACTTAAGCTTTTCAACGGGGTAAACAAAAATTGATGGCGTTATCGATTTTGTCATGCAATTGATAGTTTTATTTTAGTATATATATTTTGGGTCTAATGTGTTGTGCCAATGATGTTTAATTCTTTTTATGGTGTTGAATTTGCGTCTTAGATTATTTCAATATGATGATTTTGGTTTTGACTAATAGTTATCCTTTTTTGCAAATTTCTTATGTGAAATTCAAGTTCACACTTCTTAAATTGGATCATTCAATCACACTCTGCAATAATGAAACTAGAATTAACCCCATATCAAAAGCATGAGATCATGACAAATCTTTATGATCTTAGGTAGCTAGCAAATTTTGCTGGTCTTCAAGAGCTATATTATCTATATAATATTTATTTTATCTTTATTTTTCATTATCACATTTATAGTTCATTTCATACATTCCACAAAAAATTGTACAAATTCAAATTTCTTGTTAAAATGATGTTCTTCACATTGCTATTTATGACATACCCACAACATATAATGACAATTGCATCAATCTGAAGAGCTTCTGTGGGTCCTTAATCAGAAGCTTGCTGGCACATCACCACGTGAATCATAGTTTCATTAACAATTTTATTATTTAAACTACTTAAAAATTAGTATTGAGTATTTTAAAAATGATTAATGACTTTTATAGATTATTTTTTATCTTATTTTAATACATTTTTAATATAATTATGAAAATAAATTTATGGCATAAATTATTATTTTAAAAATGAATAAATAAAAATTATCCAAACACGTCTTATATATAATATTATGTACAACTTATTATTATTTTTCTATATATACACAATTCTCAAATACACTATAAAAACAAAAGAGAGATGAAAGATGTCTCCCCCAAAATAGAGAAGCATCATTTTCCTCCCATTAGGTGCCAAAGAGATCACATGGAGCCTTTCAAAATCATCAAATATGAACAGTGACAATAGAACAGACACTGCATGCATCAAGAGGGATGGATCAACTCTTTCAATTTTCTTTAGTTTTACCAGCACAGAGGGAGTGAATGGAGACATTAATTCTTAGCACTGTTTTCACTGTCATTGTAGGAATCTCCCACAGCAATTGATTTTGAAGCCATTATTGAGCTGAGAGAAGGAATGGAATGATCATGTAAAAGAAATGAAGATTGATGAAAGATGAAGCAAGATTGTGGTGGTGAATCATTGGATTATGAATTTGTTGAAGAGTGAAGATTCATCTTGAGTTCTTTAAATTTAGAATATATATTGTAGTTATAATTATTAATTATAAATAAAAATAATAATTTAAACTATGATAAAATATACACACTACATATAATGAATAATGAAATTGAAATTTTAAATATTAGTTTTTTTAGTAACAATCTTATTATGCTTTGTTTTTTAAAAGTGCATTTCATTCACTTTAGAAAAAAATGTAAATGCAGTAATTCAATTATGGTTGATTTGATAACAAGTTAACATTTAAGTATATAAATAGACGAGAAGAGAGTTTGAAAAAGAATTTTTTCAATTAAAAAAAGTAATTAGATTTTTTTAGATTTAATACAAATTATTAGGTTATGCATAATTTGTTGCAGTTTCTGCTTTTTATAGGAAATTTAATGACTTCGATTGTAGTATATTAGTTTTTTCGTAAAAAATTGTCGATATTTTAAAATCTTCTGCAAATCCTAACAATTGTTACTGAATTTAATGAGAATTTATAATATTTATAATATAAATTGAAAGAATTTAAAGATATATGTAAATTACATCAAATAGAATTAAATAAAAAAAAGATATGCATAATAAGGGAAAAAGACTTTAAATTTAAATTAAAAACAATAAAATAAACATATAATTTTAAAATAAAATATAGATCAATAATATTAAGTTATATTAAAAAACTCTTATTTACTCCATAAAAGTAAATTAAAATACTAAGAGCGTTAAAAATGTACTCTTTAACACTCTTTGTAATATATTTTATTATTAATTATTATTTATTAAAAAATTAAAATATGAATAAACATATTAAATTAAAAATATATTTTAATAAATTTTAACAAATTTTAAAAAATATATTAAAAAAATGCATAAATAACATTCACACTAACTTTAAAAAATTTCTTAAAATATTGTTGTTGAGACGAATTTGTAGAAGATGGACAGTTGACAGTTGTTAGTTTATTTAATTTTTGTCTAGAATTTTTTGTTAAAAGATAATTCTGTTTGAGATAACATATTTATTTTTTTTAAAACTTAAATTCAAATTACAAATTACGTTAAAATAATTTCATAACAATTAATCATGACAGCAGTTGGCAATGACATCCCTTGGAAAGCTCTTTAATCACAATTGAATGCATTTTTGCATGGCCGAATGGGAACCATAGATGATCAACTTTCTCACTCTTAATAAGCTGCCCCGTTCCACCACACTCTGCAATCAATGCTACGTACTCTAATGATATGTCACAAAGTAATCAAATACTAGTCAATCAATCCAGCATATCTAATTTGATAATACCTTTACGATTTTTTAATATGTAAAATATTATACAAGATAAAAAGATATATTATTAAATGCTATAATTTTCATAAAATCTGCTATATAAATACCTTTCTATATAATAACTATGCCACAGCATGGCTTAGTGTTCACTTAGTCTACAGAATGCAGATTTTGCTCTTTTTTTGCGTTTTCCTCTACCCTTTTTTTTCACCACAAGAAAACAAACCATTTTGCCTATTTAAAATGATGTTCCCCTCATTGTTATTTATGACACACCAACATCATTCAATACTGACCATTGCAAAATCTGATGAGGTTCCTGTGGGGTCCTAATGAGCTTATTGGCACATGAAGACAAGTGATCACATGGGCTCCTTGAAGGGGTAACCCCAAAGTGATTTCCAAAAGCCCACAGAACCACCAATCACTCTAAAAGGTGAAAACAGGCTTTGCAGCAGGATATTCAAGAGCCTGTCTCAGTAGACATCACCAAACTATTGCAATCAGTAATGGCACTAAGATTCAATATCATAACAACTAAACCTTCATGAAATGCACAAGCAACTGCAAACTCAAAAAATTGTCAATGGATGATTAAAAAATTGTTCTTCATAGTTTTCTAAGCATAGAGGGCATAATTTTATAGAGCATAAAGCATTTCAAGGGAAAAATAACAAATCCCTTGTCTTAATTGAATTGGTAGTATAAAATATATAATACACAACATGCCTAAGTAACAACTGAGAGAATGAAAAATTCCCTCCAATGTCTAATAGGGTCTTGTAAAGTGAAAAAAATAACTAGATACTACAGCTATCTTACACCAGTTACAATACAAGCATAAGGATACATTTAGATGTGCGTTCAGATGTGTCAGGGTGGAAACCTTGAAGCTTGAAGCTTGAAGCTTTTGCAAGATAGCATCCAAATCAAAAGTAGGTGATGGTGAAATTGTTGTGCATTAAGCAGCACAGCTTCCACACACAATACCTCTGTCAAACAGTAAAGACTCGTGTTAACATATAGTTAAATGTCATTGGTGTAGTAAAAGTTCAGCATGAATGATTGGAATTTGCATTTTAAAAAGATTTGTGGTTATATTTACTAAGGTAAAAATAACATGACACTTCATGATAAATTATGTGCTGCTATTAAATCCTAGAAACGTTGACACATTCCCAGCTGAGACTCAATTTATACAGTCATGAAAATTCAATTTCCTATTCAATGCTCTTTCAGCACTATGGTCATTTGGGCATTGTTTTTCTTTTCCTTTTCTGGCACAAGCAACTACTGAAATTTGCCAATCATCAATACACACTGCATAAGTAGTAACATCACTAGCTAGCAAATTAATTTTCTCATTAGGAAAGTCTCCTTAAGTAAATGCCTTGCAGAAATCAACAATTCAAGTGTGATCTACAGTGTAGGAGCAAGCAAGGCACTTACACAATTGAGCAGCCAGACCTTCTTTGCCTTTTCTTCCTTGCCATTTCTTTTCTCCTTGGAGGTTGAAGAACAACCTTGATAGCAGTATCAAAAACTGCTTTGACATTCTAAATCATGAAAATACAATGTTATCACATTCTGTGCATTATAAAATTCTGTACAAAATATCACAGAAGACTTGATTTCTCTGGATTTCAATAATAAATACAAATCAATTACCTGTTGAGTCTTCGAACTGCATTCAATGTAAGCTGCTGCACCTATTTGTTTCCTCAGTTCTTCCCCCTGTTAGCAATATACCACTATTGATATAAACGAATCCTTTATTTTATATGCATAAAATGTTTTTCTAGCGTGTGTTTATTGACCCAGAACTAAAATCTATATATAGTAAGTTCTTATTGAAAATCACTTACTAGTGAATTCAATCGATATATTATACAATTTTCAATTAAAACTTGCACACGTGCATGTTTTCTTATGTCCACGTTAGAAAAATTGATACATAAATAATATATAAGTGCTTCGTGCTTATCCCAAAAATAAGAAGAATGAACGAAGCTAATGTAAAGAATATAAACCTCAGCAGATGTTATGACATTAGATCCCATATGATCAGCAACATATCCCCTATCTTCACGAAGATCTAAAGTCAATAATTCAATACCAAACTTGGGTCATTCACTTCTGCTCTCAATTCAGTTAGAAAATCAACATAATAAAAGTACAAAATTTTGTATGTGCAATGTGTTGCTGCTTACCTAACTTTGTACCAACAAGAACAATTGGAACATTAGGTGCAAATCTACGCAATTCCGGCATCCACTGAAAGTGAAAAGAGAAAAGAAGAAATGAGAAACTGCATAATAAATGCTATGTTATAAAACGTTCTATTATTGATAACACCTAATAGGCTAATACAATGAAACATGCACGTTCCACAGTAAATTGATATACAGGCCAAAAAAAATAATAAACATTACAGAATTATGCTTAGTTAGAATGCTGAGAGAAAATGAGAACAATAAAATAAGACAATTTGTTTCTTCTATAATTTTTCCTCATTGTAATGTGAGAAAATAATATTTCCAGAAAAATAATTTCTCATTGGAAATATTTATTTAAAATAATTAACGTTTGAATATCAGCATGTCCAATTAATGTTAGACAACTTACGTTGTAAAATAATGAAACCATTTAATTCAACAGTTTTAATATTTTAGATCAGATTGAACCCTTTTCTTCCCCTCCCTCTCTCCAACGCTCCTTCTTTTCCTCTCTAATTTGATTTTCTTTCCCTCTCTTTAAGTAGCCATCATTAGGCAAAAGTCAACATAGGCATCATGGCAAAAATCAAAGACCCCAAATTTAGAACATTAATCGGTGATCATTGAAGCTCCTTTCAACCAAACACTCTATTCAACTTGATTTGTCTAGTCTGCGATCTTCTTACTAGAATATTATTGCATGTAAATATATAAATATATTTGGTATATTTTCATTATCATTAAAAATGGTTTATATGATAATTTTAACATACAAAAAAAAATCAAACTTCAAAAATTGTAATATTTAACAAATAACTGAGATGAAAATGTTTTCTTTCATCGGAGTTTTATGTCCAACTAGAGAAAATGATTTCCACCCATTTCATCCCACATCCACAAGAAGCCTAAAGGAAAAGACCCACTTTCTGAAAACTTGAATCCAAAAATAGAAAAAAGAGAGAAAGAAAACAGGAGGAAGCAAAGATAGGCATGAACCTTCTTGAGAACATTTTCATAGCTAGCTCTACTAATCAATGAGAATGCTAACACAAAAATATCTGCTCCTCTGTAACTCAGTGGCCTCAACCTGCTGTAGTCTTCCTGACCTTCAAAACAGTGAAAAATGCATAAAGAATAATGAACAAAAATAAAAAAAAAAACACAGTTTTGTACCATAAAAGCTCAAGTGGTGTTCCTAGTACCTGCTGTGTCCCATAGCCCCAAATTCACAATGTTCCCATCCACAGCCACATTAGCACTAAAATTATCAAACACTGTGGGTATGTAATCCTGCAAAGACGAGGGTTTCATCATGATTCTTAGAACAAATCAACACAGATAATGAAACACATCAGAACACAGTGAAACAAATGCCCCGATACTAGTATCATCAAAACCCCGTATTCTTCAAAGGAAAAGCTCAAAACTTTACCTTGTTTACATATTGTAAGTTAGAATAGAAAGCATCGTTCACGTTAAAATACAATAAAAAAATGAAAAAAATAAAAGAAGGAAACTTTATGAATAAAAGACAGAGTTTTGGTTTAAGAAGAAACTTACAGTGGGAAACTTGTTGCTGGTGTAGCAAATGAGCATGCATGTCTTCCCAACAGCTCCATCCCCAACAGTGACACATTTAATGAACTTTGATGCATTCATCATATGAACAGTTAGCAAAGACTAAGGTTAAGGTTACTTGTTTGTTCCTAATATAGAAAAAGACCCTGAAAAGTTGAGTTTGAAACTAAGAAAAGGGTATGGATTCTGTGATCTCTGGGTTACATTAAAGGGTGTGAAATGAGATAAACACAAGGAGAGAGAGGCTCTTCTTATAGTTTCAAGAAACTAGAATATAGAAATACTATAAAATTAGTCAAATGGTGTTGTTGTTCGTTGCAGCACTTTTTCGTCCCACTCAATAAATTTCAAATCCAACAGAAAATTTTTTGAATTACACAAATGGGGCCCTCTCAAACGGTACCTATTGCTAAGTGCTAACCTCTTCATTTGTTGGTTTCCAACTACGTCATTAGTGATTGATAAGTGCTCATCACTTGTTCAGTGATAACAGTACTTACTGCAAATTAAAATCAATGGCTTCGACATTCCGACTGTATCCTGGTTCGGCTAATCAATCATATCATGTCATATTTGAAATAATTTGAATGTCGTGCAAATTATTTAAAAAAATAGAAAAAAGTTCTCTTATACATGATTGCATGATTAGTATTGAAAGCTTAATTAAGTATTTTTATCTGTAGAAAATTTTAGTTTTTATATGATTCTCATTTTAATTTTTTTCAGAACGGATCATTCATAAAATGTTTTTTTTACTAAATATTTCCTCTATAATTTCTATTTTTATTTAATTCTAAAAATTATGATCTTTTTCTTGATTCTTTTAAATGTTATAATTTTTTTATAACTATTATGATGTTCCCATTTGATAATTTCGAAAACTAAAATTCTTATTATTTAGATAGTTTAAATAAAATGTAGAAAAAGACTATAGTGATCATTTTGACTTATTTTTACTTGTAGAAGAAGAATTTCAATTTTGAGAATCTGCATAAAGTTGTGACAGAGTACTAACTACGAACAAAACAAACACATGCCAATAATTAACAGCGTATAATGGTCACTAAAGTCACCTCAGCACCATAGTACTCTCAGTGAAGTTTAAAATATTTCTTTGGCTACCATGATAATTAATTTAGTCACTATTCACGAGATGGTTAAATTTTTTTATAAAAAGTATTAAAAAACTATAATATTTAATATTATTCATGCATTAAGTTATATGATATCATATATAAATTTTTATTATATTCTCTTAAACACATGTTTAGAAAACTATTAAATAAATTATGATTAAAAAAATGTGTATTCTTTATTGTCTCTGTTGATGAACGTGCATAACATAGGGAAGGATGGACCCATATGTCTAGAACCCCACCAAGTTTCCACTTATGATGAAAAGCTCACACATTCCAACAGATTCAAATATGCATTCAACCGTTGAAGGGTGGAAGCTGTTGTTTTATCTGAATCTGCACTATGCATCTGTCCCAAAAATTAAAAGCAACCAATGTACCGAAACGTTAGGTCTGTAAGTAATGTTACATCAATTTGTTGAAATTTTAAGAGGATAAAGATATCTAAATTTTTTTAAAATTTGCTTTTGTGAAGTATTTTTTATATTTTTATTAACTATTTATATTATTACATCTTCTTAGCATTTTAATGGATTTATGACAGTTGAAGTGTTAAACTTTCACTGTCCAACTAAAGTTTATTGATTTTATTTTGCTCTCAGGTGACCTAGTGCCTCAGCGCGAGACTCATACCACCTAAGGCGCTCATGACGTACTGTCAAGTAATTTTTTATATAAATAAAAGAAAGGGAACAACTTTTACTATTCCAGCAAGGAAAAATTCAAGAAAAAATAGAGGAGAAGAAGCTTGGGACTCTAGGAATCACTTGGGAATAAGAGGAAGATGAGAGATTGAAGATTCATCTTTTCAATTCTTAATTCTTTATGAATTTTTTGCATTTATCTTCTTTGTTCTTTATAAAATAAGTTGCTAAACTCCATAACTAGAGGAAAAGATTAAGTTTGAAATGGGTGTATTGAAATTGAGATTATGATGTTTTGATATTGAATTTATTGGATTAATTGTTCATCTTTTGATTTATATGCAAATACTATGAGTTGTTATTCATGATTAGATTAAGATTCTTACATAATTTGGAAAAATTATGTATGATTAGCTCAAACGATGAACTACATGAATTTCAAAGTTTAGAAATATTTTTTAAATTTTGTGTGATTTATGGATTGAATATGCACTTGATCTATATTTGTGTTGAAATATAGTTAATGAATTGTCATATTTTATCACAAGTAGGATAATTAATTCACCAAGAAATTGGGGTCCATTCACTAGAAATCCTTTCATTAATCTAAGATTTTCAATTCAAGTTTATTGAAAGTCAATAAGGATTAAAAAGAATTCATACCATCCTAACTTCTAGTGTTTTAAATCTTGAGATCATCATTTACTTGTTGAGTTATTATTCATTTTGTTATAAATCTTTGTTTTGATTTAATTATACTTTTAGAACTTTTTTCAATCCAACTAGTTGATGTTATCGAAATAAAAATTTGATTAGTGAAATATTGTTTGGTAAGTCAATCCTTGTGGGACGATACTCACTTGCCATGGTTATTACATAAAATGATTTGGTGCACTTGTCGAGTAGTTATCAAGTTTTTGACATTGTTGTCAGGGATTCAATGTTTTATCAACAACTTATGCAAGGAATCATGTCATGTGTGACAGAGGCATTGGATCTTTCTTCATAAATGATTTCCAAAAACATTTATACGGACAAAATCACGTAATATACACTGCTACATGGCCTTTGTCTTTTGGGTGAAGTGAAGGAAGCAGTTGGTTTGTTCAATGAAATGGTATAAAAAAGAATCAAATTAGGTATTGACACGTTTAGCATATGAATTGTTGCCTTATATAAGAATAGAAATATGAGAGAAGCTAAAAATATGTTTATTGTGATGATAAAATAAGGTGTGAAACCTAATGTTGTTGCTTATAATTTTTTAATGGAGGGATATTGCATAGTTAATAAAGTACAAAGTGCAAAATATGTAGGAAAAATGGAATCTAATTCTTAATATGACAAATGATAAACAAACACTATGTTAGGATTAGATGTTAGAATTATCCGAAACAGTTGAGGTTGATGAGTTCATGACTGAGTGACTCCTTGATTGACGAAACAGAAACAAAAAAAGAGAGATGACTCTTCTTATTATCCTTTCAGATTCTAAAAAAGATAGATAACTCTTCTTATTACCCTTTCAGATTTTTAGTACACTGTCTCAATTGGACAACACTTACTCTAAAGTGGTTAGGAGCAAGGGCCTCTCTAATTAATAACAAGATGAGTCAAGCCTATCCACTATGGCTCAACCCAATAACAATAGCCATAAAATCATGTTCACTACTAACTGTAAAGTTATTACAAATAAGCCTAATAACAATAATTATTTATAATATGGACTAAACAACATAGTTTAATATTTTGGCATCTAATTAATCTGAAATTAAATTAATGTTATAACAAAAATTGATTTATATCAGTCAAAATATAAAATATCCAACAAGCTACCACTTGAATAATATAAATCAAAACATCATATTATTCCAGATTAATCAACAATATATGGCTACAATAAAATGCCAAAATAAGCCAACATGAACTAATAAGCATCTTAACAATGCAGAAAATCATACTCAAAGGAGTAGAAATATCATACATTATAAGACACATATGTTTGGTGACTCAATAATGAAGTAGAATATGGATAAATAGGAAAGCACAACAAAACGGCATGCCAAGCTGTAAACAACGTGCAATTTTTTCAACAAAATGGCCTAAGCATCTGCCCAAGATTCTTTATAAGATTTAATAAATCTTATTACAATATAAGATTGAGACTGAGTCTAAAATGTCTCCACAATTTGCCATCACAGTATATGCACATATACAATAATAATTATAGCAATTAAATTGGACAAAACAATATATATGACAAAAACAACAACAATAATTATTGTTTGAACAATGTCTTAAATATTATAAATATGAGGTCATGACAAAATATAAAGATAAACTCCCACTTATCTAAAATATCAAAGGGACTTTATTACATTACATAATCAACAAAAACTTTAACAACTATCCCTTTTGTTAAAGGATCATAAGCCATAAGCTCAGTAAGGATATACTTGACACGAGTATTAAACTCTTGTATTTTCTCTCTCATAAATATAAACTATATATCAAAGTGTTTTGTTTGCTTTGAACTACTAACCACTGCAGAGTTATCACAGTATATAAACAAAATCAAATTCAACCATAAATTTTTTTTCAACCTTATTACCTGATGTGTAGCCTCATAACTATGCTTCCATAGTCGATGATGTGGTTGTAAGAGTTTATTTGACACTCTTTCAAGAGATAGCTAATCAACTAATACAAATATATGACCTTATGTGGACTTGTAAACATTTGGACAACCACGGTAATCAGAATCACAAGAAATTTTCTCCATATCTATTGTTTTACTTTTAGTCTAAGGACCTCGGGCTTTGGAAAATTACTCACCCTTTTGAATAGGTACAATACAAGGCTTACAAAATTGCACATTAAATTGGTTCAAGATTTTTTCAATATATCCTTGTTGAGACAACCAAGGATATCGTGAGATCTATTACAATGAATCTCAATGCCTGAAATAACAGATGCATCACCAAGATAGTGTCATCAACATAAAGAACAATAACAATAATTTTTCTCCCGTTCGGCAGATAAATGCATTGATCAGTTGCATTTTTTTAAAACCAAGATAACTTACAATAGATTTTGAATTGTTTCAAAATTGAATTAGACTCAACAACTTTAGAGTTATTGTAGAATAATGAAATCTAAAACCTCTAGAGTCTACACAATATCTTACAAAGAAATTCCTAATTATCTTTGTCAACCATGAAAGATAGTAAGACTTTTTCGTCTTATCAAATTTCTTGCTTAGAGATACTATTAAAATTTCACAATTTTGCGACGGATTTTTACTTACTAACTTGCTTGCGACGGATTTTGTGACTAAACTTACTCTTTCACCATATAAAGAATAATAACAATAATTTTTCTCCTACTATTCCTCAGATAAATGCATTGATCAATTACATTTTTCTTAAAGCCAAGATAACTTATAATAGATTTTGAATTATTTCAAAATTAAATTAGACTCAACAACTTTAGTGGTATGAGTAGAATAATAAAATTTAGAACCCCTTGAGTCTACACAATATCTTACAAAAAAATTCCTAATTGTGTTGGTTGAAAGATAGTAAGACTTTTCTGTCTTATCAAATTTCTTAAATTTCTTACTTAGAGACACTATTAAAATTTCATAATTTTGCAACCGATTTTTGCTTACTAAGCTGCTTGCGACGGATTTTGTGATCCATGATGTAACAAGTTACAACACTTTATTTTGTTAGGGTTATTCAGCTTTTTCAAAGATCGCAAGGCATGGAAATTCAACCAAATATCGGAGCACTGCATCTTCACTACTGACAACACGTGGATTTATTTTTGACATCATCACCTATGCAACACTGGCCAAGGCCTCTATACATCAGGAGAAACAAGAGCTGCTATATAGGTGCTCAAACGGGTTGAAGGATAGTTTGTATTTATACGTTTAGCATATGGATTGTTGCCTTATGTAAGAATAGAAATGTGAAAGAAGCTAAAAATATGTTTGTTGTGATGACAAAAGAAGGTATAAAACTTGATGTTGGTGTGTAGTTCTTTAATGGAGGGATATTGCTTAGTCAATAAAAAACATAGTGCAAAATATGTATTCAATTATATGATCCAAAGTGATGTAAACCTAATGTAACAAGCTACAACACTTTGATGAACGGATTATGCAAGGCTGAAATGATTCATGAAGCAATGAATTTCTTTGAAGAAATGCATTGCAAAGGCGTTGTTCTAGAGACACAAAGTTACAATTGTCTGATGAAAGGTTTTGGTAAATCAGGAAAAATTTGCTATGTTTGGAAGCTCCTTGGTAAAATGCATGTCAGGTTTTATATGCAAACGTCATTACTTTAAACACTATAATAGATGTGTTATTGAAAAACAATGATCCAAGTAGAGCAATTATATTATTCGACAATCTTAGAAAGAAAGACATTTGTTTTAGTATCTATAGTTACGCCACATTTGTTGATGGATTTTGCAAATATCAAAGACCGAAGGATGTACAAGAAATTTTTAAGGATCTATTGATTAAATGTTATTATCTGGATGTGACAGTATATAATGCTATGATCTATTGATTTTATTTCAAAGGTTAAAGATGACATGATTGACGAAGCATTGTCTTGGTGAAAAAATGGAAGACAATATATATATTCCTGGTATAATAACTTTTGAAATAATTGTTGCACTCTCTTTAAAAATAATATGAATGATCAAGTGAAGATGTTTATATGTGAAATGATTGCTCGAGGCTTATTGTAAGGAATTGCTTTAGATCTAAAGGCCTTAAATTTCAATAATAAATTTTGTCTTATAAAGTAAATTTTATTGGATGAACACGAATCTAAAAGCCTTAAATAAAATCGATTCTTTTTCTTTCTGGGAAATTTAATTCTTTTGATCTTCGATAAATTTGAATTATAATATTTTATTACAAGAATGAGAAGTCTTTTTATGGTTTAAGCTTCTAAAATTTAAAGCTTTATTTAATGAAAAAAATTGAAGAATAAAAGAGAAGAAAAAGACCAAAAAAAAGAAAAATTAATACAAAATCTTTAAAATTAAAAAAGATTTAAAATTATAAAAAATAAAATTTAGAAAAATTTAGAAATTCTCTCTTTCATCACATAAATTTTTTTCTTTTTCTTTCTTCCTTCTAAAATATCAAAAATCACAATAATAGATTTGTGATATTTTATTAGCATATTTAATTTTATTTAAGTTTGGGGTTGTGACGAGTCACTAATTCATCTAGAAAATTAATTTTTTTTAACATATTTCATTGAATTTAAATCATAAGTTAATTCAATTAAATAGAAAATTCAATGAAATGTTTTAAGTACTAAAAAATTTATATAAATAATTCATATTATGATGTTAACAATTGAATTTTTGAAGAAAATTAAACAAAAAGTAACAATTAGACTAAAGATAAAACTTAAAAACCTAAAAATTTGAATAGAACTAACCTTTCAGTCGACTTTAAGTTAAATTTTATAAGAGTTGTAAACACTAAAACAACCAACTGATTTAATATTCAAATAAATTCTTGTAAACTTATTTTTAATATTACTCACAACTCAAATAATATTTTAAATATTAGTTCTTTCAACGTCAAAACTTTCTAAATTAATTATATTTAAGTTAAAAACAAATATTCTAAAAAACTCAAATTTAAAATTTTATGCAGTTGGTTTTTATCTAAATTATAAATGCAAAAATTAATATGTAAGATTGAAATTTAAAAACAAAGTTCAGAAAAGAAATATTTTTTTCAATTGATAATACCAACTTTTTTGAGTATAAACCAAACGAATCAATTCTACTGAGTTCAAAAGCTAAAAATTTTCACTTTCCTGGATGTCTATTACCAGGAATGAATCTTAAAAGAATTAAGTACATAAACGTGCATCCACAGTTTCTTGCCTCATCTTTCCGCCTCTAGTGTTAAAATGTTCCAACTTTTGTTAGACAACACATTGGAGGTTTGAGTAAAATTGAAGCCGAGTCCATAGTTACAAAATTTCAAACACCATTTAACCATTAATGGACACAACATTTGGATCCATACAACAAAACTTCTTATATGCTTATCATAATGAAGTAGAATGAGTAGACTTGCTTAGTAATACTAGCTATTTTTTTGCTTCCTACGGCTATGTAATCGTAATACAAATAATATATGTAACAGAGCATTTGGATAAATTTCTTTATAAATACTTATAAAAGTAAAAATAAATAAATAATAATACGAATCAAACTTCTCATTTGTTAAAATTAACTTATACTTCTTTATTATTTAAAAGTTACTTTCGCTTAATTTATCTAATATTTAAAGAAATAAGTTATTTTTAACTTTTTTTCTCTTACAAAAATTTATTCATAACCTAACCCAGAACTCACACTGAACCATGTCTTGTGTGGAGTCCATTAAGCCCAACATTTGTTTGGACTTTTGAGGTTATATAAGTAAAATTATTCCATTATCTATGAATGAAGAATTGATCTGATTCTATAAAAACACCAAAACAAAAACAATTAACAATCATACTTGGTCGCACTTGAAACTAGAAATTTATTTATTTCCGAAATATGCACCATATCATGTCCCCTCCTAGAGCACACAACACAATTCCAGATAATAAAAGCAAAATGATTCTAACATGCTCTGGTATCAAAAGAGTCACACACACACAATAGACAGTAAATGAGCCCATAGACAGTAAATGAGCCCTAAGACACAGCTCTGAATAAGGATACAAAGGTTTAACTTAAAGAGCCTTGATGATCTCCTCAGCACTGGAGATGGTGAATTCTCCTCCACTTTCAACATTTGCAACCTTCACCTTGAGGTCTTCCACCAATAGAGCAAACCTCTTAGAGCGAATTCCAAGCCCTTTATCAGTGAGGTCAAGCTCGAGCCCAAGGGCATTGGTGTACTTGGCTGCACCATCAGCAAGAAACTTGACATGCTTGTTCTCTGGGAATGTTTTGGCCCATGAATTCATCACAAAGGGATCATTCACTACAAAATCAAAGGCAATTTCAAATTAGCCACTTACCAAATGATCTATTTTCAGGAATTGATTACTAGCATCATGAGTACTTTGTTTTGTAGATCATAGTTTGAATATGTCTAACATTCTATTCACCACACAACACAAAAGGCTTGTTAGTAGTTAAGTCCTCGTGGTAAAATATTCTGCAGTTGAATCCATATGAACAGCAAGAAAAAGTAAATAACTAAAAGGTCTTCAATCTTAGATGTAAATTAAACAATTTCAACATCCAAATCATTACATGAAAGATTATCAATTTCTATCTGTGTTAAAATATTAAAAGCAAATCAACAATATATTAACAATCAAACAACAAGCTATTTGGAATCCATGTATAGAAACTATTAGAAAGAAACCTGGTATTGGAGCCTTAGAGGTGTCATTTGGGTCAACAAGTACAAAAATGTTAATGGAATTCATGGCAAGTACCTTCAAAAGCTTAGATTAAACTATGCAAATAGGAAACACTAAGAATTGAAAAGAATAATCAAACGTAAGTCAATACTTGCTACACCCTAAGTTGATTGAACACTCGACAATCCCAACTTAAATTAACACATCGGTGCAGCCCCTACATAATTTTCATGCCAGCATTTTTTTAGTACATTTATCTTGATTCTTGAATTGCACATAAAAGTTATAAAAATCAGCAACTACATGCATGCATGTATTATGTCAAATAGCAATACCATATGTAACAAAGCAAATATGAAGGGGAAAATTATCATATGTTTAGACCCTCACCACTGATGCAGATTATTTCGTCCACACCCTTTGTTTTCAGCTCTTCTGCTCTCTCAATGAAGCCAGGCACATGCTTCAAGCTGTTCCAGAGAAATAAACATATTTATAGACCAAAACTCTTAAAAAACTAGCACCTCCCCTTTATGAAAGCAAAACCATGATAATTGAAACAACAAAGTAGCCCCAAAATTTGGGGATTCAAGCCACATCCCATTCAATCCATTTCATCATATCACTCCCATAATTTTTTCTCTCTAGTAAACTAGGTTTTTTTTTTTTTTTTCCTTTTTTTCCTTACCTTAACATCAATGAATTTAACTCAGAAAATAATTCCAAGTGAAAAAAAAAAAAAGGCAAACAAAATATCTGGGCAGGGAAAAAGAAGAAAACTTTCAGAACCCCAGTTTAAAATTCTCTTGGATTAATGTAGCAATACTTCACAACTCCTTAAAAAAATACATTTTTTTTTAAAAGGAAACTTTGAGGGAAATAAAAAGTCAATCTGAAGTACCCACGAAGGTGTTTCAGATTATTTGATCCTGTAGATTGAAATTTTGAGATTGATAATAATAAAAAGAAAAAGGGGGTGTGATCAGGGACCTGCAAGTAGGAGTGAAAGCACCGGGAACACCAAAGATGATGACTTTTTTGCCGGCGGCGAGAGAGTGAATGGTGACAGATTGGGGTTTGTTTTGGTCATCTAAGAAGGACAAGGTTCCGTCTGGAATAACATCTCCCACTGCAATTGGAGCCATTTTCAGGTTCTTCAACTCAACGATGATAGATAGATAGTAGACACCGATGCTAACACTCAACAATGTCAATCACTTTGTGGTTTTGTTGTTTGTTCCCACTTCTAACCACAAACCCAATTTATACCACAAATAGTGCCTTCTTTATTTACTTTTGTTAGATGGAAGTATCTAGAAGAGGCTCTTGTTACCATTATTTACAAGCCGATGTGTTTAAAGTAAAAAACTATTTTTTATTAAAAGTTATAAAATTTAATATAATGACTATTCTTCGTGTCGGGAAGAATGAGATGAACAATATCGAAAAGAGACCAAAGTATAGATGATTAAAGATAAGATAAAGCCCAAGAGGACCATTGTTGGTAAGTAAATTTTGGGAGTAAAATTTTAAAAGGGTAAAAAGTTGTAATATTTTTTATTTTGTTATTTATTATTATTACAATTTATGTTAATTATTTGTATATATTGTTTAAAATAAAAAGAGTTTAATTGATGTAAACTATAGAATGTTTCGCTTTAGCGAGACAAGTTGTCTAAAATCAAATTCTATAGAACTCGCTCGTTGCTGCAACAAAATAAATAAAGATGATTTTAAGTTCTATAGAGTTCTCTCTACAGCGAGCGAGCGAAAGAGTTTTGTTGTAGCAAAAATTGGATAAGGATAAATTAAAAATATTCTCACTACAGTAAAAGAAAAATATTGTCTAATTTTTTCATTGTAACAAGAAAGTTACAAATTTGAGAGATATTAAGATATTTAAAGATATGAAAATATTTAAAGAACTTCACACCTTCATTTTAGAACCAAATAACTTTCTTTCTCTATTCTTTTTGTTCTCTCCCTCTCCATTCTTCAAGAAATTTTTCCTAAACTCGAACATCTATTCTATCCAAATTTAAGTAAGTTTCTCGGATATATATATATATATATATATATATATATATATATATATATGAAAGAAAAAAAAGACATATTAAAAATTGTAGCTAAAATTTAATATAACTGAAAATTTTATTTTAAAAGTATAAAAAATTTAAAAATATATATTAAGTAATAATATTAATTTTAAATTTTAAGATTAAAAATATAATTTTTATAATATAATGTTGATTATTGGGTAAAATTCATTTAAAAAAAATACTTGTAAGAGTGTATTAAAAAAATGTCTCATAAAATGTGTTACCAGTATTTCTTTTAAAAATAATAATTTTTTAAAAATAATTATTTTAAAAATAAAAAAATATTTTAAATATTTAAATTTAAGGATCAAGATTAACCTAACTGTATTAAGGATACCAAAAGTGTGTGAGTGAGCATTGAAGCATTCGCTCGGGGAATATTGCATTAATTTATTGACAACAAATAATTATAAAAAATAAAGTGCTGCCACCAAGAGTTCGACCACATTAATACTTGTTGGACCGTTATAATACAGTTTTTTCTATTACTACTATTATTTCAACATTTCTCAAATCTTAAAACAACCTTTTGTTTTGTTTTTTTCTTCTGTGTATGTATGAATATTGAGTAAGGAATAAATGAAAAATTATTATACAACTATAAAAATTATTTAATATCTTTTAAATTATTAAAATTTTAATAAATTATTTTTAATCAATGTTTATGAATATAATTTTTTTAAAACTTTACTATATTGTACACGGTATTAATTTATATATAGTATACTTTTCTTGAAAATCATTTAATAATGTTACTGCATTTAATTGTGAAGGTTATTTTGAAATTTAAATTATTTCTAGCGTGTCAATTTTACAAATAACATATTTAAATCCTAACTCTCAAATACGAATCCTCGCATTGAATGATTAGTAAAAATTGAGAGTCTATTTGCACATCCAAATATTATTAAATACTTAATATATAATTTGTTTAATCATTAAATAATAATTTTTCATTTCATAAAAATTATTTTGATAATAAATCATATAAAAAAATATTAAAAACTAACCATATATAATTTAACTTAATTAAACTTAAAATATCAATATCTGTAGATAAATAGATGTTAATATATCATAAAATTAAAAGTATTATAAGTTTCATTCTTCTTTATATTTTGATATTTTATGTTTGTATCTCTGAACTTGAAGTTTTAAAACTAAATATAAAGGAATCATTTCATTTTCACCGAGTAAAAATGTGATACTATTTTACAAGAATTAGCTAGTTAAACAAACACCATTTTACTTTCACAACTAAAAGATACAATTTTCAAATTAATCATGTTAAGGTTCACTACTAATAATTTAGTGGTGATTGAAAAAAATAAATTCTTTAAAATGAATACAACAGATGAACAGTAAATTGAGTAAAAAAATGATATTATGTCAAGACTCAAATATATCTATCAATGATTGTCATTGTAACAAATTGAAAAAATAAGAATAAACATACCAAAGTAATATGATTTTTAATCAAATTAATATGACAGTGAGCTCATCACATAATACTTGAAAGTTGAAACTATCTAAATAAAATTGTTGGTATTATGAACACTGTGAATCAATAGAAGATGCCGCGAAGAATGAGTGTGAAGCTTTACAGAGTAAGAACGAAGAAATAAAGCATATCTTAACTGTGTGAATGACATCTTCTTCTTCTGTTTTTTCAAAATTGAAATAGGTGAAAGAATGAGTTTAGACTTGATGTTTTAGTGGATTGAGGGATTCAGATGGATTTAGACTTGATGTTTCAGTGGATTGAGGGATCCAGATTCTCTGCAGTTTTGGTAAGAACTGCGCCTTGCAGTGTGCTTTCACTTAAGTGAATTTGGCAAAAAGTGATTTTAGCTTTTAAGTCTAAAAAATTTATCAAAAAGTAATTTTCACTTAAGCCAACAAAATTTGTTTAAGCAAAAATAAAAACATAAGAAAGAGATACTGCAACCTACAGTTCTCACATAAATTGTAAGGGATCTATTTTTGTGGATTGAAAGGTGAACGAAACTCGTGTACTATGTATACGCTGCTTCTTTCTGTTCTAGGAATATAAAAATTGTAGCCCTAGTCCATGTGTGGTAGAGATAAAAAGTTTTGTAAATAAAAAAAAATTAACATATCAAAGGTTCTATGGGTCAAAATTATGTAAATTAGGGTTACAGGCTAAAAAATTTTATTTGTTCTCATAAAATTGACATTTGACAGAATTTACTTGGATTACGATAATTTTTAGAATTTTTATTAAAAATATTTATCTATATGATATTTTTTATTTTAAATTGTAGACTAATAAAATTACTTAAAAAATATATAAAAAAATAAAAATTATATAATATTAAATATTTATAATAATTGTTGTCATCAAATAATATTAATGAAAATATAATTATTTATCATCAATTACTTTACAAATTTTTAGAATTTTTATCTGTATTTTTTATAATTATTAAATAATTTTAAAATATTATTTAAGTATTAGCTATAATTTTTTATATTATTATTTTTATTGATTTATTTTTACAAAATATTTAAAATATTAAAATTTTTAATTTTTTTTTGTAAGAATATGTTTCCTTTGTGTAGAGACATTTTATGTTTAATAAATAAAATTATAATAAAGACATAAAGTTAAAAAAATAATATTAATAAAATTTATTGAGTCGATGAGATGAAATTAATGTTAAAAAAATTAAATAAATATCGTTATAATTGAAATTGTAGATAAAGAATACTTTATATTATAAAATTCATAAATATAAAAAATATTTGAAATATATTTTCATTTCATTATTTTCTTATTGTATTTTCGATGGTTAAAAAATTTGATGTCTGAAATACTAATCACACATTGAAAAATGAATAAAAACTAGTTACAACGATGAATGTAGACATGAATGGAAATAAAGTAAGTAATATAATTATACATGGATAAATATCATTTGTGTAAAATAAAGACAATTGATTTTAATGAAAACATAATTAAAAAAAAAACTATCATTCAATATACTATTTGATTTATTTTATTATACTATAGTTTTTCAAAATATTTAAGCAACCTTAAAATTAATTTCATAAAATTTATAAATTTAACGATAGTAATTTTTTTAAAATTACCATCCGTATAAAAATGGAAGAGTTTATTTATCTGTCAAGGATCAAACAGTTCACCTTGCAATGTTTATCAATAGGCTAGTATTGATTGGCATGAAAATAATTACTTTATCATACAGAAAAGTTATCTACCAAACAGACATTACATGTCTCAGGATATCTGTTTCTTTCTTGGATATAAAATAATGCTTATGCTTTGAGAGTACACATGATTGTCATATCTTATGCTATAATCAAAACAATGACAACAAAAATTATTAATAGAATTTTTTTTATAAAAACTAATGCGTTGAGCAATATAGGTAAACAAAGTTGTAAATATGGCGAAACAAAATTATATAACACCTACACAGCTAAGCTAAACATGGCGCAGATGATGATTTTCTCAGTCTAACTTACGCCCAGAAGGGTGTACCTCAATGTTGTGATGTGACACGGGAGGTGGAAAGAAACATTAGACAAGAAACATTACAGACAAATTGTCTACTATTTCTAAATATAAAATTAGATTAAACAAACTTGTAAATACAAGTCCAGGATTAGAATGCAGCAATCTTCTGAAAATAAAAAACTTCCATAATCACAAGTTAGGGGTCTTCATCACAGTGTGATAGCAATAGGGTGCAAACGGAATGTCTGTCATAGATCTAAAGTGATTACTTACAGCCAAAGCTGTAGCAATCATTTCCCAACAAGTTGCTCAGCTGTTTTATTCTCATTTCTTCCTAAGAGAGCATAGATAATTATTTCAAAAGTTATAAGACTGCAAAAATTATCTTCCATTTTTTATGGCAAGGACAATGCTTCATCAACCATGCCCCCTTGACAAATCCCATTGATCATAATAATATAAGTTGGAATAGATAATGGCCGTTGTTCAAAAGATTCTGAAAAACCTCCTGTGCAATCTTAAGGCTTCCATCTTTGCAAAGTTCATCAATAAGAACCGTGTAAGTTTAGGGTTTAGGGTTGAATGCCACTGTATAATGAAATTGCACCGTCTAACCCATGGTTGTTGAATAAAGAGTGGAATGAAGGTAATTATAGACCCGTGTCATGCATCTCATGTATAAGCTCCCAAACATAAGAAATTCTTCCTAATTTGCGCGGACCATTGAGAGAATTGTAAGTCACTGTGTATGGAACTCTACGTTTGTAATGCATTTTTTTTCTTTAAGGAGATTTGGCTTCACCCACTCTTGCACAAACCATCAACAAGACAAGAGAAGTTTAAGTTACTGTATCTGTAATTATATGTTTGCAATGCATTAATCGTTTACAAGTGATAACGCTCAATAAATTCCCTTGATAACCAATTCTGACAAAAAAATTAAGATCACATGCATCGCTTGCAAGTTCATCTTTGCCTAGGCTATCAATAATTGTACTGTATATTATCACTCGGCTGAATCAGTTGTCCTTCAACCTATCTCAGCAACCGAATGTCAGCTCTTGTTTCTCTAATTTTACATAATCCATCGATGAACGTGTCAAACTGAAATCCTTGAGCTAGCTCCTTATCATGAAAATGCAGGCTTTTCTAACGTTAAGGTCAAGACAGAGACCATTGGTGAGTGTATTTAGAGTTGTGGGTAACTGGCTGGTAACCCAGTATGAGAATCTTGGCCAATACAGAAAAAGCTGAGATCTTGTGTCCGGATCGAGAAAGTAACAAGGCGGCATAATTCCCACATAATTCCCACTTATTGTAAGAAATTGTTTTAAATCTATAATATAAATTGCTTTAGATCTAAAATACAAATGTGTGAATTTTTAATGACTATCTTCCAGTCTTGCTTTTTTCTTTAATTATTTTACCTTTTAAAGTAAATTAAAACATTTTCATTTGATAATCACTTCATTACACTAGGATTATTATACTTCATACAATTATTTGTCATTTGTAATTTTTTATTCGTAATTCAATTTAATTTATCAGATTAATCAAACCCAACAAACACCCTTACAATTAAAAAATTGATTTATACCAGTACAAATAATTAAAAAGTTTAAATAATAAAAAATGTATATTTCCTTATTTTTATATTTTTATATTTTTAATTAATTTTCTAATATGACACTTAAAATAGAGTGAGATAATACTATTTTTAATAACATAAAGTTATTTTTAAATTTATATTAAAAGTATAGATTTAATAAAAAAAAATTTATAACTAATAACATTAATAGACAGCAAATCAATATTTAGACTTTACGAAATTAAAAAGCAGTTATTTTATAATTTTTTTAATCTAAATTATAAGTACTATTTACTGGATAAGACAATATTTTTGAGTTGGCAAAATTATCGTAAATGGAAAAACCTCTGAATAAACGTTATTTAATATTTAAACTCTAAATTAAAGACACAAATTTATAAAACATTCTTAGATAAATTAAATTAGTTTAAGTATAATTAAAAAATATTAAATTTCATAATTAAATGGGCTTAAACACGTTGTCGGCCCATTTTGCAGCCTTCAGGAAATTGGGGGTGTACGAGAAAACCATTGTCTGTATTCAATTCTCTTAAATTTTAGGGTCTGGAGAGATAGAGAGAGTGTGGGTGTGTGTGCAGAGAATCGCAACGATGGTTCTATCGGAGGAGGAAATGAATCGACTCTACCGAATCAGAAAGACGGTGATGCAGATGCTAAGAGACAGAAACTACCTCGTCGGTGATTTTGAGATCAACATGTCAAAGCACGAGTTCAAATCAAAGTACGGCGAGAACATGAAGCGCGAAGATCTCGTCATCAACAAATCCAAAAAGGACAATTCCACAGATCAGATCTACGTCTTCTTCCCTGAAGAAGTCAAGGTCGGCGTCAAAACCATGAAGACTTACACCAATCGAATGAACTCCGAAAACGTCTTCCGGGCCATCCTCGTTCTTCAGACCAACCTCACTCCCTTCGCTCGCACTTGCATCAGCGAAATCTCCTCCAAATTTCACTTGGAGGTCTTTCAGGAATCCGAATTACTCGTCAACATCAAAGAGCACGTTCTCGTTCCCGAACATCAGGTTCTCACCGATGCCGAGAAGAAAACATTGCTCGAACGATATACCGTGAAAGAGACTCAGGTCAGTGTGTTCAATTTCTCGCAATTTTTTAATTCGGAAATTGATTTGGTACTTTATTCATAGTTTTTGTTGATTGGTGACTTCAATTTGTGAATATGTCTAATTCGGAAATTAAGTTGGTACTTTATTCATAATTTTATAGGTCACTTTCTTCAATTTGCGATTTTTTTTTTTAATTCTGAAACTTTTTCGGTACTATATTTATATCTTTATAGGTCTGGTCTTCAATTTCTAAATTTTTTTAATTCGTAGTGAATTTGGTACTTTATTTGTAAGTTTTATGGGTCAGTGACTTCAATTTGTGAAAAAAAAATAATTTGGCAATTAAGTTGGTGCTTTGTTGTTAATTTTTTTATGGATTGGTTTTCAGTTGCCAAGAATTCAGGTGACGGATCCTGTTTCGAGGTATTATGGACTGAAGCGTGGACAGGTGGTGAAGATTATTCGGTCGAGTGAGACTGCTGGTAGATATGTTACATACCGATTTGTTGTGTGATGATTTCATTTTGGAATGTGGGACTGTTCAAACTTTGAATCTAAGTTATATGATCGTGTCATGGGTGACATGTTTTTGTTGGAATTTGGAAATCTCAGTTTATTATATAAAGCCAGAAATTGTATCATAGAGCAATGAATTGTTTTGGTAAGTTGTTGACAGGGATTTATTTGTGTTTGAGTCTGGTACAAGTTGATGGGTTGTTTCTAATTCCTACTTGTCAGTTTAACATTGTGATTTAGTTGTAAACCTCACTGGAATATGGTTAAAATTGTTTTCTTGTCAATTGAGACAAAATTCCATCCCATATGATCTCAAATTCAATTAGGGTGTATTTAGAAGAACATATGAAAATAACTTATGATTCTTTTAAGCTCTTTTTGGCGTATTTTAACAAGCTTTTTAATAACTTATCAAAATTAATTTTTTTAACTTATGTTAATAAGTTTCATAGTTAAAATTTATGGTATAATCTGCTTATCCAAACTCATCCACCCCTAGTTTGTAACACATTGGGAGTATGTCAATTGAAAGTTGAGACTCTGAGTGATCATGTGTGGTGAAATAATATTGATAATTCCTAGGTGCTAGATTTCGTGTTATCATGAGGTGAGCCGGCATGAACTCCTAACAGTTATTTTTGTGAGTATTGATAGTATTGGTTGAAGTGGAATGGGTACTCGTTGTGTATATGTTCAAAGCCTTTTGCTCAAATTATGTCTTTTGCCAGACTCCATCAGAATGACTGCTATGGGGATTAATACATTCCCTGTTTGCTTCTTGCATATAGACTCTCAACCTTATGGGTACAAATCATCATGGTCCAATTTTTAAGGTTCATTCTTTCATATTTCATGGGATAGTGACTGCTGTAGAAGTAAACAAACGATGTATATATGTCTTTGTAAACTAGCTTGAAAGTGAATCTTTATGCCCTTTCCATCGTCGCTAGTGATTTAGAAGATATATTTTATAAATAAAACTAACTCTGTAAAAAGTTAAAACTGATTATCGCTAAAAGCTGGGAGAGTTGCAAACTTGAAAAACTATTAATTAATCATAAATTGCATTTGGGTTTGTTTAAGTTATTTCATGGTACAAATAATCTCATTCTTAGTGAACTAACGAAGTTAAGATTTATAATGAAAATGTATCAAGTTTTTATTTAACATTTTATAGATAAAATTTTACCCATGAAGAAGAAAAAAAAAAATTACAAATCACCCTCTGTAGGGGCTAAGAACCAGATTTGAGATCTTGATCCAAGTCATAAGTCCTTTGCATTTTTTTTTTGGGTCAACAGAAATTCGTCTAAAGTCCTTTGTTTGCACGCAATTTAGGGTTGGATAGTGTCTTATCATCAGGGGAATGGATTTTTTGTCCAAGTATGTGGGGGTTGCGAGGCTTTAATTTATCATAGTTTTGTCTAGCACATCCAAAGTATGGAATCACCAATGATTTTAGGAGTTGAAACTACGGAATGAGATGACATGAAATAAAAATACCTTGGTATTTTTCTTATCATGAATAAGAATGATATTAATAATTAATTTTTCGGAAAAAAATGACGAAATAAAATTACCAATGCACGTACTACACATAATATAATATGGATGAACTATCAAAACAACAACTAAAGAAAGAAACAGGAATTAAAAATTAATGACAAACTGTATTACTAGAAAATCTTAACAATTTTGTTATGCGTTTATTTTCGAGCACAATAAGGCAAGTTATTGCAACAATAACTAAACCTTATTTTTTTGGATTTATAAATTGGAAAACTTTATTTGCTCTTTTCTCAAGACAACCCCTGCTTTAATTTTAAGAAAGACGTTATGGCTACTAAGTTAACAGGGAGATGAATTTGATAAGAACATCTACTGCGTTTTGGGATGCTAATGAGGCAAACACTGGTACTTCATTGGACAATGCAGACCCCCCACCAGCTAAATCAGATAGTGATCTAATAGCAATGAAGGGTTTGTTTTGTTGTAGACATACTAAAGCAACTGCAGCGCTTTCCATATCAGTGGGAGTGGCACCAAATTGGGAGTGCAAAAGTTCTCTGTATGCCTTATTGTCAACAAACACACTGGCACTAACCCCTTTTTCTACTCTCACCACAGTAGGCTTTCTTGGTAAGCAAGTTGTGTTGACACAACTGCCCAAGTTAATATTCTGTACAAAATAAAAAAAGAAATGAGTCGTTGATAATATTCTTTTCCCCCTTTAAGAAGTCAATTATAGATAGATGGCAAAATGGGGTTAAACTTACCGTAAGATTTCTTGCAATTTTGAAGTATTTCTTGTCAACTGGAACCCAGAAAGCAAATTGCTTAGCTTCAGGAATACCATTCACAGGAAAAATTTGCTCTGGTTGATACCAGATTGTGTTCAAAAGATTTGTCTCTGACTTAGAATGTTTTGTTTAGTTATTGTAATCGGCGAACTTAAGATCACCGAATCTTTTGCTGAAATCTCCATTTTCTTCTCCTAATCTCTGCTCAATTAAATAAACAAAGACAAATCAAGTTTTGGTTAATTGTTTCAATATCTGTTTATTTTTCTAGCTAAAAAAGAAATATTAGAAGCAATTGAACATACGACTTGGACCAATTTGCTTTGTATTAACTGAAGCATCAATGCTTGACTTGGCGAGTTAGTGATTTCTTTTAACATCATGATCCATGCATTAATATATATATATTGAAAGAGCATATGCATTGAGAGACAAAGTTAATCTAAACTTCCTTTATTGTCACAAGTTGCTATAATTAAAGAGGATGAAAGTTTCAAAAGAAGCAAATAGAAAAAAAAACATTATAAAACAGTGCACCTGCCAATGCCAAAGTCCTGTGTGAGCCCAATATTGGGGAATAGTCACATCTCCAATCTGGAGTTTAGGATTTGCATTTCCTGCAATACCATAATGGAGAACTCCTTCTACATCAAATAGAGTAAGCAACAATTGGGTGGAAACACCTGCATTCAGCTACACAAAAAGAAACCAAAACATTAAAAAAAAAGACAGAAAAATATAACCAATTTATGCAGAATGTAGAAAAGAAACTTAGCTTACCATTCCCTCTCCAGTCATAACAACTATAACCCTCTTATTTTCCAATACACCAATGCGAAAATGTTTTCCTGCATTGTCAAGTTTACCCATGCAAAAAAGTGAGAAAGAGCAAGCAATATCTACACTTAATCTCTAACTTTACAAAATATATATATATATACCATTGCATGGAAATATCATAACACTTTGAAAATTGTGCATTAACTGTCTAAATCTATATTAATTTCATTTAGATCTTCATGACAAACTTGGTGCTGAATCAACTACAACGACAGATTCTGAAGTTTTAATAGTTGACAAACTTCATGATGAATAAACTACTATGATGATTGCAAAGATTCTAGAAAGGTTCAAGAGTCAATGTAGTTCGTTGTAGTCCATGGTTATCAAGACATACATTTGTGAGCATAATAAAATAAATTAATAAACAACACATTGTTGTGGAAGTTACCGGCAAAATCAAAGTAAGGAAACTTGCTATGAGGCACAAAGCTAGGTGAATTAAGAAGAGGATTCAGCTCAAAGGCATTTGGCACCACTATACCAATGTATGGCCCTTTGCTATTGATATTGCTGATTTCTCTCCAAGAAAGTTCACAAACTGCACCATTGGCCCTTATGCTAATGCCCAATACCAACACTAGTAAACCTAGTAATTCCATTTTCTTCCAATGGTTTTGTCTTTCAAGTTCTCAGAAGATTTATAATCCATTTGATTACAACAAAAGGAATGGAGTATAGAGTTGTCAACCACGTGAAAGATAAAATATAATGCCATTAAAAATATAAAAGTAAAAAGATCCCATTAATTAACTACCACGTTTAACATAAATTTAATGGCGGCTACTTAGAAAATTAGCCATGATTGTTTAGAGATCATATTTGGATTTTGATGACCTAAGCAAGCAAGGTGCTTTTTGTTGTTTTTGTATAACGTGATATTAGTTAGATAAATGCTTTTTGAATCAACAAAATGTGACTTATTTTTAAAATGATTATATATATATAAGAACAAAAAAAGTATAATATTAATTTTGAGTAATTCAAATAATAAAACTCTTAGATGAATCCAATCTCGACTTACACTCTCTTTTTTGGTAATTAAATTTCTTCTCTTTATTAATTTCCATGCATATATTATGTGTATTTTAATTATTTTATTTATTTAAATTTCTTATTATATTATTAATTACATCTTTTATTTCATTATTTTATCTATCTTCTTTTTACCTATTTCATATCTTTGTGGAGTGTGAAATAAATATTATTAATATTATACCTCAAATTGTCTTCTTCTTCTTTAATTATTTAAATTAATTGTGTATTTTTTAAAATAGTTTTTAATTTATATTTTAAATTTTTTTATTGAAAAAGTAACCTATACTAAAATGTTAATTCTATTGATTAAAGAGTCAATATTCAAGAACAAGAGAAATCCAACCGAGATTAAGATATAATTAAATCGATAAATAAGACCGACACTCCGCATTTTAATACCTGACTCTCAGTCACGTGGAATTATTATTATTATTATTTTTATTATTTTTATATATTTATAACCTCAATCATTTGCAACAACGACAGTATTTTTTAGTTGTACTATAATAAGAAAGCATTATCATTTAACACGAGAGTTCTAAGTCAACATCACACAAACAAGGAGTCAATGACTTAATAATTTTATGAATTAATAATCACTAAGATGACTTGTATCCATTAAACTGAAAGAAACTAAAATGAAACAATTCTATGACTTGTAAACTCTAAACACTAAACCGAAAGGCTAATTCATTTTACTTTTCGGCCAAGTAATATGAATTTTCGTGTTAGTAGATTATTGATCCTAAAGTAGCTAAGTTCGAGCCATTAAATTCTGGACTTATTAGTACTTAATTGAATCATAGATTTAGGTTCAAAAGTGTTATTAGTGATTACGTCCTGGGTGCAATTTCAATGCTTTGTAACTTGTTTCTGTTGTTTTTCTTAAGTGTGTTTTTTTATTTTTTTGTCTGAATTGTTTTCTTTAGTCAAATAAGATAATGCGTTATTAGCCCCATAAGCAAAGCCTTTGGGCTATTACAGATAAGGGAAAGCCCAAAATCAACAAAGCAATGCCACAGCACCACTACAACTTAAGCATGCTTGGGTACATCAATAAAATGGCTCAAGAAATTTCATTGTTTCTTAATGTTCTATTTGGGCCAAGCGTCCCTCAGGTGCAGCTCATGTAACAATACTACAGCCCATGGCCAAGACAGCATATGGGCCAAACCAATTGGGTTGATCTTGACTTAACATAAAACTCAGGCCCATTTTCATTTTTTGTGTTGCATTTATTTTTAACTTTTCATACTTCATTTAAAATGTTCAATTATTTGACATGTACTAGGTGCTATTGGAAAGTGAAATTTGAGCTAATGATCAAAAGAAAACAAGAAATAGACATCACATCGAGGGCAGATGCAAACGGGAACAAGAAAGAAACTATGATGGATGAGGCATGTCACATCTTAGAACATCAAATTGAAGAATAATTAGGCAGTGGAAATGACGAGGTCTCGCGTGGTTGGGATATTTGGGTCTAATTCTTTGCCTTCAAAATGATGCTTTGCTTTGTCAACCCCATGCCGGTGCCGGCCATCATTGCTTCTATGTTTTTCTTGTTGGAGCCTAATATTTAATTTCCAATGGGCAAACCCAAGCATGGAGCTAGAGTTTCTGTCAACATATTCTTGCAAAGAAACAAAGCATGTTTTCAAGGAAAAGAAAAACATAGCCTAATGGTGTACACACTATTTTGAAAATATTAGATGTAGATAGGGAGGTTGATATTTCGTTGTCGGTGTCCCTTTTAAGATTTTGTTGTGTAAGATTAGATATCAGTTAATTTCATGTGTAGATCCAGATTTCCAAGTCACGTGTAGCTGTTTTGTCACATTCCTGATAGTTGATTCACCTGTGTCTACACAACTCGGTGCAAAAGGGTTTTGAGATTGAATTATTGATGATGATCATCTATAAAATATGGCTATATGTAGATATATATTGTAGCGTATGCTAGTGTGTAATGGCTATAAAACCTATCCACAAGCTTATATGTAGTAGAACTATAATATAATGGTTTAGGTTTATGTAAGTATAATTCCCAGTGTGCCACTCGTGTAATGCATTTAGTTATAAATATAACGATTGTTCTCACACAATTTTGTCTTTAAACTCTTCTATTTTCCATAATTAACACTTTCCTTTTGTTTTGATGAGTATAAAATGGTAAGTTGTGGAAAAATTAAAAGTATATTATGCAAAAGAAAGTTTTTCCGTAAACATCTAAAAATAAGAGTATTTAGAGTTTTTATAGTATTGTTACTGTAGTTTTATCAAATTAATTGTTAAAATTTAATTTTTCATTTTTTTTTCCGTCGATCTGTTGATGTATACAACATATACAGGCATGAAAAAAATGTTCACAAAATAAACGAGCATATAGAAATATCCTAAGCACATATATATATATGGAGGTAATTAAGACTCCTAGTTAATCAATAAATGTCATATTGGCAAGTTTGGATCCAAGTAATTAACGATTATCAGTCAAAACCTTGAATTGTATATCAAATCTCTGGTTTGGGTTAGATGGAAAGGAATGCTTGAACCCTGTTCTCTTTATTGACGTACTATTTATTATATGAGAGAACTATTTCTGTGACTTCGGTTTAATTTATCTGAGAAATGCTAGCTAACACTTTTTAATATATTATTTTAACATACTTCTAACTATTAACTAAAAATTATTAAAAACTGTAAAAGTATGAAAAGAAATATTAATTTAAAAATAATAAAGAGTAAGATCCTTATAATTTTTATAGTTTCTATTTTAACTAATAATTAATAATATATTAAAAAGAGTGTGAGATTTTATTCATGGAAGTCTCTTCCTTCATGCAACATGAAATTTAGGCATATTATCTCCCTGTTGGAATAGTATTCTTTTCATTCTAGCTATCTGAAAATTACTGTATAAAGGTCATCTTTGCTTTAAATAGGAGGAATCATTGAATACGTATAAGAGAAAGAAACTAGCTAGTGTCAGTTGCCCTAGTCAAGCTAGGGTTAATTATTAAGCTTTAAGAGGATTTACTAAAAGAGTGCAGGATCTAACCCTTTTACAAAGGCTCTCAGCACAACTAAATTAAGATGAGCTACTAAAGCTAACTACAGTGAATCGTACATAAGGTTTAATTATCATAACTATAACTAGTTAGTTATGATATGTACTAACTACTTATGGTATCGGAAGAAAGGGTAAGCCTTGTGCAAATATAAAGTGCATGGTTTTGAGAATGCATCAGTGTCTTCTAATATCGTTTTTGCCAGTAGACCATGCAAACTCATATTAATTTATATTGATTAATGCAAGAATTAAGTAGATTAATAATTTATTGCTTTGTTAACTTGATTTATTTGGACCAGTGAAGTTACATGTATATGTAGATAGGATTTGTAATGGGGAGAGAACTGCTGGAGAAGATCTGGATTGCTTCAAGAGAAGGTGTGAAGACTTTTACGTCTATTCGTCCACGTTACGTGTGGAACAGAGTGAGGGCAACCCATATACTGACAAGAACAAGCTAAAGTTTGTGGCTTCGTGCCATTAACAAAGTGTTTGAATTTATTTAAATATAAATCCATTTAACACTATTTTTAAATTAAAACATGATTTAACATAATTTTAATTTGTATTCAATCACACATTGAATAAAGAGTTTCAACACCTTTACATATACAAATTAATAACCTGAAATTTGTACGTAATTATCGATATATGATGTTCCCGAAACGTAAGATTTAACAAGTTGACTGTAGAATTAAGTACCCAGGAATAATATTTCTAAACTTTGTTCATGGCCGCGTATCTCAGACATGAGAAATATAATTAATGGGATATAATTATTTAGATTAACATAAAAAATTATAGCTCGAGAAGTATAAAATGCTTTGACCTGCTTAATAATTGATATATCTTTCATGACTTCCTATCTTTCCCAAGTTTCCGTAATGATCCAAATGAGCAGAAAACTTGATTTGCTAACTTGAAATAATACTAGCAATATTATAAGTCAGCATAATAATGGTCATCAGTTCAATTAATGCTGCTAAAAAAGCAGCATTCAAATGATTAATCATACAAATATTGCATATACATTGAAATATAGCGCATTAATACCACCATCTTAATTAAGCTAATGAAAATAAAGAAAAGCTTGATTTTCATGAATTAAGAAGTTTCAAGGGCCTGCATACACTCGTCATGGTTAGCACACATTTTATTCAGGAATGAAGTATAGCATCATGAGCAATCAGCCTTAGTTTTTTAGCAGATTGACTGCTCATGATGGTATATCATTTCCATGAATTTACCTCTTTGCATGCTACCATTTTTATATGTATATGTTGCCCCAATTGTAAACTTGATCTAACGGAAGCCCCCTCCTAAGGCTGGAGCCCAATAGTCTGCTCCATTGTCACTTCCAACTTGGAGTGTGCATGACACTGGAACCAGACATAACCCTCTACTCCTCAGACACTTCTTTGGTTCTTCTTGAGGATCCTATTTATCAGTAACATTCAGAACAAGAAGAGTAAGAATAGTAATAAAAAAAAATATTTTTTTATTATTATAAAGACACTTTATCCATAAAGTTTTGTTTTTTATTCTTTAATTTACTTTGTATGTTATTTTATGTTACTAAACCTCCTTACATTTCTTTTTTTTTTTTTGGATTATTGAATTCTCTTGTAGGATTCCTTTAATTACCTTTGATAGCAAGATTTATTGATATAAATATAAATCAAAATAATTAAGGAGATGAGTATAATTTACCCTTATTGTAATATATAAAAAATGAGGAAGAAAAAGTTAATAAAACTTCATTGAATTTGATGAGAATAAGATTATTACCTGCTCTCCAGATGCTTTCCTCTTCAAGCAGTTTTCATTCAGCAGCTACATACACAAAGTAAAATGAAATGTAAATTTAATATGCATACTTTACAATTAGTAATGGGAAACACAAGCCACTTGTTTTGATTATTCAACTTATAAACAATATTATATCTGATAAAGCTGGTGACATTTCTCTTTACTTGTATGCTTTCTTCATTTAATTAATTGAATGTAAGATTAAGTTGTAGTTTCCTTCAAAATGCAAAATCACCAAACCCCTTTAAGGGGGTTAATTAATGGATCCAATGAAAAGCATACCTGACCAGGGTCTTCAGGGAATATACAATTCTTCTCCCCTTGAACCTAACATTAAATAATTACAATCATCACTCAATTAGTATCACATAATTACCCATTAATTAGTACGCTGGTGCACATGCAAGAAGAAAGAAGCTGCTAGAAAGGGCAGAGAGAGAGAAAGAGGACCAGAGGGAGAAAGTGATTATTCCTTCTTGCTTTGGGAAGCGTAAAATGGGTTTATATATATTTTTCTTACGTTTTAAATTCTCTATCATTTTAAGAGTAATATTTATTATTTTTAATTACCAAAAAAGCATTTTAACAATAGTATTTCAGTAAAATAATTATTATTATAACGAACAATTTTTTTAAGATACATGTATATTACTTTAAAGAATAAATACAACGAGACAGAAAAAGTATGTGCTAATTTTTTTTCAAACAAAACTTAAATATACTAATATGATTGCTATTCTAATTTTGGTAATCAAAATCAACAATTATTAAGATACAACACCGATTTTGATTGAACAGACAATAACACTAGCAGTACTTGAAACAATAAATGTAAGTTATGTGTTCTTACAGGATGTTGCTGCCTAGTGTTTCCTGATCCACCGCTCAAGTAAGGTAAGCTAAGGGCCTACATTCAAGGAGGGAAAAAAGAGAGCATATTTAGAACTTTAATAATTAAAGGGTATGTTGGAAGAACACAAATGTGAAATGGACCTTTAACAGCGTGCCATCACTGGCTCGTGGTTGTTTGGGAAACTAAAGAGAGGAGAAGAAATATCACCTCAATTTGACTCTGAAGGAATCTGATATACCCAATAGCTTCTAACAAGACAGAGGCTGTGTCAGTCTGCAAAAGTGAAATATACCACACCACTGTCATATTCCCAGTCATCACTTCTATACTATGCTATAAACAAACCTCTTTTCTTCTCTAAAAATATCATGTAAAAGAATCCAATATATAAAGAGGGGGAAAAATTATAACTAGAAAAAGTACTGTTTCCAATTTTTTTAAACATATGTGGATCAGTAAACTTTTATTATTGGATTTTCTACATAAAAAATATGGTTACTTTTTATTAAAGGGACATATTAATTTAATTAAATTTATGTGCATTAAATTTTAATTGAATTATTTAACTAGGTTAGCTCTTACCTTCCCAAATGGGGAAACGAGCTGATGAAGGGCTGTGATTCTGTCACCTAACTTCTCCTTTCTAACCTGAAATTGAGAAGAGGAAATCATATAAATGTGTCGTACATACACATGTTGAAAAGTTGGTTATATTTTGTTGTTTCATTTGGCTGATTTTGATTCTTTCTTACTGAGATAGTAAAATGACGATGAAGGAAGAGATAAAGAATCACTATGATTGAGAAATGGACAACCAAGAAAGACAACAATTATCCCCCACATGGTGTTTGTGTGTGCATATGCGTGTTTGCATGCCTGAAAGAGAGTTGGAGATTGGAATTTTCTGCCTGGTAGTTTCCATACCTTGAATGTAGACTGTGCTGTAGCGGAAGGTTGAACCCTAGCTTTCTTGAGTGCCCCACCAGCTGCAATGCTGTTGCACTTTGAGAAAGAAAGAAATTTTTGTTAAATTCATATTTAAAAGAAATTAATAGAAGCTGAGAAATGGGAATTTTTGAATTTTCAGATTCAGTAGTATGCATACATATTGGTCAAGTTTATGTACTCTATTACTCATTTTAATTCAAAGAAGATGATATAATCGAAGTAATCATGTTTTTTATATACAATATAAGAAAATTAAAGAATTATAAAAGTACCTTGGTGATTCAAAATCAAAAAGATAGGGGACAATCTTGCCTTTAGCGGATGAATATCTATTGTAAAATGTTTTCTCTCAATATTCTAAAATATGAATGCTTTTCTGTGGCCAAATTTAAAGGTGTTAATTAGTAAAGTTTCAGAAAAAGTGAGTTTGTGTAACTCATTGACCAAGAAAAATAAAGGTCATGAAGTAAGAAAATTGAAGATTCTCAATTAGTTAGTCAATTAAGGAACTTTAATCGAGAGTGCTATGAAATCTAATCTTTTCGTTACCTCAGAAGATCGATCTGGTGGTGGATGCCTCGCATCTGTCTTATTGTTAGAGAAATCCAACATGTTGCTACTGAAACTTGTCACACATGATTTTGGAGACCAAGAAGGCTTTGATGACTGAAGTTCTTCATTTCCATGCCCATACACATAGCTACTCGCGGAGTTTTCTTGTTTAACATCAACAAGAGAAGCATTTGGAGCTTGACTTAGCATTTGATCCTCCCAGTTCTCCAACTTCTTAGTCTGAAACTGGCCCATACCAGCCTTATCTTCTTCACCTACCACCCCACTCCTGTATCCAAAACCACAAGAATAAGCCAAAAACAATTAGATTTCGATTCTTTCATAAGCAAACATATATAGTTATTATAATTATCCATGCAGCCATGTACGTTAGTTAGCTTATTTGTGTGTGTGTGTGTGTGTGTGTGTGTGAGAGAGAGAGAGAGAGAGAGAGAGAGATACATAAGTAGGTGGCTCCATGACTCAGGAAGGTCTTGATTATTGTCATGCCAAGAAGGAAAGGGAAGAGAAGAGGTGGGTGCATAAGGGGAAGGAAAGTTGGAAGGAGTGGATAAGAAAGGAGGAGCTTGAGGAGGCATGGTATTGATATTGATGCTCCACCAGTTAGGGTTTCCAGTCATCATTTGTTGCACCGGTGAGCTCTGAAGAACACCTCTATTCATTCTTCTTCCCTCCTTTGAGATATTTTTGGCTTACAAAGGAAAAAATGAATTCTCTTTCACTTTATCAGCTTGATGTTGCAACCCAAACACGGTCTTTGTAGAAACTTTGAGAGGTCCTCTTGAGACTGATTAAGTAGCTTAAGGTGAACACCAGTGCTTGGACCGTTTTTGAAAGAATTTAAATAATTATGGAGTTTTGAGAACCTTTGTCTTTGTTTCCTCTCTTTTCTTCCCTTTCTTTATTGCTTTGCTTTTTTTTTCTTTCTTCCTTTCTTGTTATTTCTTTTCTTTCTTTGCTTTTCTATTTCCCTCCGCTTGCTTTTGCTTTATCTTAAAGTGGGACAGAAAAGGTGGTAGCAATTCCCATAATTATAAAAACCAAAACATATGTGCATATAACCAAAATATCACTCTAGGGTGCATCATTTTTCTATCATATCTACCTACGTGGCGCACTGCCAAGGCTTCAAACACCACAAAGCCATTTATTTCAATATATATATCCACGAACCTCTAAATTTTGGGAAATTTGACTTGCCAAAGCTGAACACTCACGACTTTTTCGTGCTTAATTGACTCAAATCATTACTCATTCCATTAAGTGGTTCTTAATGGTTGAGTTAGTATATCTTGCATTAATATATATATATATATATATAGTTTTCTTAATTTTAATTCTTAAAATTAAATTTAAGTATATAATAGATTTTTATGAAAAAATATATAATATAAAAATTATAAAAATATAATAAATATTTATATTTTTATGAATTAATTTTTTTAACCTATAAAATATTGCTTAAGATAAAAAATTATATATATATATATATATATATAATTTTATTAAAAATTATAAATTTTAATAATATCAATGCATTTAGTTACATTGAAATTTGTAATTCGCAATAAAATTATATAACTCCTATTTTGTATAATATTACACAAATTTACAAAATATAATAAATTATTATTATTAATTGATTAAATTGTTCAAACCTTAATTAAGATTAAGGTTAACATTTCTTATATATTAAATGCCAAAGGTTACAGAAATTATTATGAATGGTCTGTCATGCACATTTTACAGTGTATTGTGTGTTTTAAGAGCATACTCTATATTTGATAAAATGATATTGTTTACTTGTTCGTCAATTATAAAATAAATAGATTGGTATTCAATTTGTGTATTATGTATAGCCAAAATCAGTTCACATGTATGATAAAAAATTATACAAGATTAATTATATGATCATGTTTGAGGTTGAGGTTAATAGTTCCAAAATTTGCAAGGCCCCAGTCAAAGCTCAACTGTCATCTAAGCTTTCTCTCCTAATCCGATCCGATATATAATTTAAGGGCATGGATAATTCCATCCCATGAATACCCACTAAACAGTCCACATCTAAGCCAATAAATGGAATCGAAAGCCTTCTAATAATGTTCAAAACCCTAATATATATGTCCTCTGTTTGTGTATTGCTTACTTAAACATTCTTGGTGTTATTGCAAGTATCCATATCATTTCATTGTTGTACTTGGTGGCTCTAACCAACACAATCATCCATCGATAATTAAGCAACCTTTATAAAGTTAATATTCAAACAATAAAATTGAAAGGAAAAAAAATATCAATTTAAGGATCAGAGCTGAATATAAACAATTAAAAGTGATAATTTTTATTAAAAAAATGATTGATTATTTCAAGAGTAAAATTATAATAAATGTTACATTTTTTAAAATTACAATATATTATTCGTAGGTGTTTAAATTCAATTTTAAAAATTAAATTGAACAAAAATTAATTATATAGTTAACGTAACATGCATTTCATGATTCTTACAAATAAGATCACAGATAGTATTTTGTACCAAATGTGTTTGTTACTTTTTTATGATGTGTACGGGATGAAGTACTCCTTATGCTTCACTTTAATTTATTTACTTATAAAAAAATCCATCTTATATTATATTCTTCTTGTTATCTTTAACTTATTTATAGAGATTACCATTTTCTTTTAAGCAAACTTTTGTTAATCTACTACAGATCTTACAGACAAATCTGAAAATTGTTCTAGGAAAATTTATCCATGCAAACCAAGGAATTTAAACTCCGATTGGAGAACTAAACAAGATCATTCCACAGTTAATGTATTTAACTAAAAACCAATTCCAGGATCTTTGATGAAATCCAAGAAAACACATCATGTAGAAACCCACAACTGAAACCTTTTTATATTTCAGTATAGTTGTGCAAAATGAGAGTATATGTATTTCAAAAGTTTTAGTGAAACTAACTGCAATTATATTGGCAAAAGTGTACTATATTTGGGGTGCGGGCGATTGAAAATGTTATGTTATTAAAAAACATTTAAATAAAAAAAATTATTATACTGATATTGTTATAACATATAAAACAATATTTATTATAGAAACATGCTATGAGAGGTAAAGAAATGAAACATGTTCGAAAGGCATTTCTGGTGCAGCAGGCATTGGCGTGTGCTACATAGGAAATGAATAAGCTAAACGTATTGTCTTGAGTTATTTCGCTAAAGCAATAGGTGTTTGCTGAGTTTATGAGGTAGAGATAAAGGCTATACTGCATTGTCATATCTTTGGTATAGATTTTGATCTTAAAAACATAATTATTGAAAGTGATTTTACTTTAGTAGTGGGGTGGGTGAAAAATAGACAAAATAGGCCTTAAGTCTATGCTTAATATTTTTAATAAGATTGATGTTTTAAGAAATGTGAGTTGCTTTGATGTATTTAATACACATTAGGAGGGAAAACATTTACATTGCTGATTTTTATTTTATTTTTTCAAGGTCAAAATTTATTTACGCTCGTAATTCGTAGTTAATGTTGGCTAAAAAATATTTATACATAAACTTAAACATAAAATTTATGTTGACTACGTACAAATATTCAACTTTAAGGGCTTATATGTGTCACTTCATCTCATTTTGTTCATACTCACTCGAGAGATATGTTCTCAATGAATTTTATGTTAACAATAATGTTGTTTTCTTCTCAAAAAAAGAAAATAAGTCGTTTTGTATAACCTGCGTCTACAAACTAAACGTATTATTTCGTATTTTGGTTCATATTCAATTATTATACCGAATATATATATATATAACGTTTACCTGAAGCTACCAAATTTCCTCGACATATATATTCTCTTTCCTTTTTCTTTTTTTCAACATTGTGGTTTGATATTATGTGCAAACATTGGAAAAGCTACACATAAGTCAATGAAATCACTTGGTTAACGATTCTATCATTGACCAATGAAACGCAACTTAATAATACTGTAAATGACCAAACTGGTTATGATGATAAATAGGTTCTTCGAGTAACTTCAAATGCGCGTATATGCATGTTGTCAATTTCTGCTGACTCAAAATTAAGCAAATTGATAAAATAATTACTCAGTAATTTTTAATTCAACTTGTTAGACTGATTAAGTTTTTATAAAAGTATATTAAATGTACATATTCTTCTTCATAACCATGGGCTCCTAACGCTTTAATCAGTAGATTTTGAGTCCATATAACTCATTTTGTTATTATTATTTATTTATCTGAGTGATAAGGTTGAGTTTAACATTTTTTATTTATAAAAAAATTGAAACGGCAGAGAATTTTCTTTTTCTATTGACAGGAACAGGATGCAAATAATATAATAAGGTAACGTCAAGATCGATGCCAATTGATGAAAATGGAGATAGAGGAAGAACAACTTCAACCGACACCACACTTACCAAAGAGGTCAAAATCTAGGGCATGACATCGCTCTGTTAGTTTCTCAAAGAAACTGATTACCAACTTCCACGAATTTAAAACTATCACCTACTAAAACATTTAGGCAAGATTTGATTAAATTAAGTTCCCAATAAATAGTTTCATCTTAATTGAAATAATAAAAATTAAAATTTTATATTAAAAATAAATTATTTTTCATAGATAAATTTTGTTAATCTACTCAAGATAGAGTTATTTTACCTTGTAGAATTACTTAAAAAAATTCCTTTTAAATATTCTCTTTTGGCACACCCAATTAGAATTTCCTTCCCTAATTAACTAAGAAGTAAAATCCATCAAACGTGATTATATGATATTCTTATAATGGTTAGTACTTCTTGTCTCATCGTTTTTATTTGTCTATTTTTAAATATTTTATACTTCGAAAGAAATAATAGTTAAGTTCATGTTAGGAAATTAAAAATACAATGCTTTCTTGTTTAATTTTACAAAATATTTTTATTCGTTAAATTTAACAAAAATATGTGCTTTTAATCTCTGATGTAAAAGCATATAAATATGATTAAAAAAAGTATATATTTTAAGACACCAATAATATATTAAGTAATAAATAAGAATATTAATAATAATTATTTATTAGTGTGCTATTTTTTAAATAGTTAGTTAAAAAAAGTAAATTGTAGCCAGTATTTTTATGTGCATTAAAGATATCTCACTCAGTTAATAACTTGAAATTAGTATATTAAATTCTCTCAATAATTTTTATTTACAAAATTAAGTAAAAATTTTAATTAATAAAAATTGAGAAGCTATTATTAATGTTGTTTCGCTTGATACTTTTTATAGACATTAAATTTTGTTAATCTAACTTTTGAATAATATGATATTAGCACGTTGATATATATAGATAGATAGGGTATTTGGGGTATAATTGTTCTTCCAATGGAATTATCCATATTAAAAGAAATAAGCACAATTTGCAAACAAACATGGCTATGACATCTTATTTCTATGAACATTCCTATTCAGATACAATAAATGAATAAATAAATAAAACAGTAACGAAGATAAACCGATGGAGGAATTATTCATTTGGCTAGCAAAAGGCATATTACAATAATATTATTATGGAGTTCAACTCCACAGGCAAACATTCCCTTATACCGCATTTTGATGTCATTAAAAAACAAACAAACCCTTAAATCTCGAGCTAATTCAGACTGTGGTGACCAGTTACCATAGGAACAGTTTATAAATTATAGTTTTCTCCATTCATATTCTGATGATGGGGCAATACATGAAGTATCAAAGAATGAAGAAAGAACATTAATTATATATATAGCTAATAGCAACAATGGCTAAGAATGGCATTGTCTTGGCCTTAATGCCATATCTTTGTCGGAAGCTCTATGTCTTATAGCAGACGCACCCACATCTTCTTAGCCACCCTTTTCTTATTTTATTTTCTTTTGGCTTTCTTCTTTGTCTTCCCAAGAAA